AATTAATTGAACCTCTCTTACTAGACAACCATACCAATCTCACAATTCCTCAAAAGTCCCAGAATAAACCTAAATGGGACTAAATCCATTTAACATAATCATTACTAAAAAGATAAGAAACGTGGATGATTTAGTCACAATAACAAGTTTGACTAAATACCCCAAACACAATGTCATCAAACATAGACATCAAAGTAAATAAAACAGCAAATCTGCAACACATGTGTCACTGTCGCAAATAATGCTAAGATTGAAAACCAACAGTCTTCGTTTTACTGATAGTTACGTCATCAGTCAACAAAACCTGTCAATACAATTAAAAACTGTCACGAATTCATCATCATGTAAAACATCAATAACACATTTTTTTTTTTTTTTTACAAGACATGTAAAAGGTACATTCTTTAAGCCTGAAAACAGTTCATTTTGATTAGAACACTTGCATCCTGGGAAAACATGAAACAGTCTATCTTGGGAACAGTTCTAATAGGTTTGAAACACAAAGGTACACATTGTCATTATGTTTCCGTCTTGCGGGTCATCATGAGTCCGTAAATATAAATCTTTAGCCGAACTTTATACCGGCGCAGCACAATTTTAGTGACGGAGATATTATCCGCCCACAACAAATACACCGAGCCGCACAAAGAGAGGTCGATTTCACGCCCCGTCTCTGTGAAAGTGAGGTGATATGCGCTCACATGTACACATTCTCGGTTGACGGGAGAAGTGTGACCCGCTGAGGTCACATTACCGATCTTCCCCGGGTCGGTCAAAGAACAATAAATCAGCTCCGAGATAAGGGGAGGGAAGCCTGAGTTAGGCTCAACTCCAAAACAAGAGGTAATGACTTGGCTCGTCGCCGACGCGGACAAAAGATTCACCGTCTCCTCGATCTCTGGATGTAAAACACCATCCACGTGACCTCCAGGTGAGGTCATGGCCTCCAGGTTGCTGGACTTGGTCGGGGAGAAATCAAATACTGCTGTGATAATGGGAGGACAGCCCGTGTTAGGCTCACCTCCAAGACAATGGGTAACGATTCCGTCCGTTACTGATGCTGGCAGAAGATTCGTTGACTTGTCTATCTCTGGATGTAGAACACCATCCACGTGACCTCCAGGTGAGGTCATGGCCTCTGGGTTGCTGGACTTGGTCGGGGAGAAATCAAATACTGCCGTGATAATGGGAGGACAGCCCGTGTTAGGCTCACCTCCAAGACAATGGGTAACAATTTCGTCTGTTACCGCGGCTGGCAGAAGATTCGTTGACTCGTCTAACTGAAGGTGTAGGTCACCATTCACATGACCTCCGGATAAGGTCATGACGCCATCAAGATGACAAGTAGTAAGGTCTTGATCAGATGCAGTTACTGGTTCAGGTTCAGACGAGGACAGCCTGTTCTCATGGGTATTCACTCTCTCGGTGGTTACCGTGATTTCAGCGGTGGTTGTAACCACTGGTTCTGATATTGACTGCCCCTTTTCATGACTGGTCAACATCAGAGTGGTTGCCGTTATATCATCGGTGGTTGTATCCACTGGGTCAGATATTGACAGCCCCTTTTCATGACTGGTCAACAACAGAGTGGTCGCCGTGATTTTATCTAAACCAATAATTTGCTGACTGCCTTCAGTACTTGTCGGCAGACAACTTTCGACTCGTAAGCTATCAGCACGTTTTGACGTTTGTGCTGATTCTGCTAGGTTAGAGTCGACTTCAGGGACTGAGCCAAAGCTAGTGGCAGCCTTAGTCTGAGACTGACAAAACTCACTACCTACTCTATCAGACAACAAACTATCTTCATCTCTATACCGATCCTCGGAAACTACTACACTAGCCTGAGAGAAAACAGAGACAGATTCTGGAAAGTCAAACAACCCACTAAGCTGCGCCTCCTCCCATAGCCTAAGTAAATCCCGTTCCCTCCTGATCTCTAATAGTTTAACTTCATGTCCGAACAGTTTCTCTAAACTTTTAATGTTAATTTCCTTCCAAGATTCTGACATGAATATATCCCTCCTGATCTCTAACAACTTCTCCTCTTTTTCTCTCGCGATCTCTAACAACTTAACTTGAAACTTTCTCTCAATTTCTTCAACCCTAATACGTCCGATCTCATAATATTCTATCGAGTCTAGACACTCCTCCTCTAATCTACCTGTATTTACTAACTCCACACAAATATGATCTCGTAGAACTCTATCTCTATCCGACACATCAACCTCTAGTCCTAGCTCCTCAACTAGACACAACAACTCTAAGCGACAAAACCTGTCTAAAACTTCTAGAGTTGGACACTCAATAAAACTCATTACGTCCATGATTCACACTTACGGAACTTATCCAGCTAAATGGTGGCGGTTAATTACTAAAATGTGGCTTACAACAAACACTTTAACTTAAACATTAAAAGTAGGGCTATCACCTTTGACACTTGAAACAGGTAGACACCAGCTATACTGGGCCAACCAAACTAAATATCCAGCTACACTGGATCACAAACGATTCACTCACGTATACTGGGAATTGACCCTCCAGCTATACTGAGCAAACCAAGCAAAAATTACGAATTTATTCACGTACCTGGGAATGACCCTCCAGCTGTACTGAATAAACCCGAACACTCCAGTTCCACTGGACCACAAACGATTTACTCACGTATACTGGGAATTGACCCTCCAGCTATACTGAGCAAACCAAACAAAAATTTACGAATTTATTCACGTACCTGGGAATGACCCTCCAGCTGTACTGAATAAACTCGAACACTCCAGTTCCACTGGACCACACAAAAAACATTCAAGTATACTGGGCATTAATCCCTCCAGCTATACTGAATAAAAAAGAAAATTCCAGCTCTACTGGACCAACATAAAAATCAAGCAAAATAAACTCAGTGTCAATACAAAGGTGATAAGCTCGCTACTTACTCAATGTTTGGAAAACTCTCCTGATTCCGTGAACAATTTTACTGTCACTACTCATAAAACTTAAAACTAAAACACAAGCTCGTGAGCCCCCAACTGAAAATGGCATATAAAGAAACTATTCAACTACGGCCTCGTTGTCTATTCAATCCCGGGACGCTAGCCACCAATTGTTACGTACCCCCTTCTCTAATCCTTTCGAACTAGTCAGGGGAATCGTAAACAAGAAGAAGAAAAATAAAAATAAATAAAAGCCAACTTCAATAATCTCTATTTATTCGCCACAAATCACAACATCTAACATTAACCCGCCACCACATGGAACACAATAGGAAAAATACACAACTATCTACAACTAAAGTCCTTAATTTGACTAATCTACTTGTCCCTAACTGTCAAGCCTAGCCTAAGTCTAAAACATGTCGTGGCTTTCCACTAGCTCACAGAGACGACCCCATGTCTGTCTCCCCTAAACCTAGCTATCCGAGACGTCCGTCCGTCTCCGTGTGTGTGTCGAGAGTGTCTGTCGAGAGTGTCCCCCTAGTCTCCGGTATACCCTCCTAAAGTACTCAAGTCGTCCCTCGCTAGTGTGGGAACCTTGTTAATCGAGCCTGACCCCAAGGTCAGGTCAGGTCAGGACATGACCGTCCATCTCGGCCCTGTGCGATCTGGAAGGTTTTCCCAGCCGTAAAACACGGACCGTCACTAGCCTAGATCAAGCATCAACGGTCAGCCCGTGGTGTCACCAGGTAATTTATGGGCTGTTGGCCACGTTAATAGCCGAGTCCCCCAAGACACCAGGTATGCATTGCCCACAGTGTGGTACCCAATCCGGTGTGGCCGTCACGGCCCAAAGGTTCTCACGGCCAGCACTGGTCAGCCTCTGACCACCGCCAGGTTGATGGATGAGCGTGAGATCGCTACCCCAACATACGGGTCAGCCCAGGTTAAACACCAAGTGGTCGTAACAATATACTTTTAACAGTGTCCGCCCCGAAGAAAGTCTACCGCCCCCCCCCCCCCCCCCCCCCCGAAAATAAAAGTCTGGAAGAAACACTGACTTCATTTAAAACGAATGACTAAATTGCGAAAAAAAAATATATATAAATTAAACAAACCTTTTATAAGAACTAGCATTTAAATGCACTTAAAATAAGAAAACAAACTTGCTTTCTTTAATAGTAGCTTTCGCAACTTATGCGATTTCTTACATATTTTTTTTAGAAACCAAAGCTTTTATTAAAGAAAACTAGTTCGTTTTATTTTTTTTTATTTTAAGGGCAATTGAAAGCTTGTTATTACAAAGATTTTAAATTTGTTTTATCTTCCAAACTTCAGGGTGTCCTGAATTGAGATATTGACCAAACACGCAGAGGCGTTGCTCTGACAAGGCGGGTGGGTCGGCCGCCATGGGCGTCGACCCTGGTGGGGGGCGCCAAACAGGGTAGAAAAACAATAAAAAGCTCATTCTAAGCTGCATTGCTAAGTTATACGGAATCTAAAGTTTTTTAAATAGACTACAACGTGGCGTTACAGTCTGTTTGCACTGTTTTCTACATCAATTGCGTGACGCCCAAATACAAAAGTGTTGTGATTACTAAAATGCGGGGGTGGGGGGCAGTGGCTTGATAAACTATATATAAATTGAGGAGGTGGGCGCAAAATAGATATTCCGCCCCGCGCACCGGACTGTGTCGCTTCGCCTCAGCAAACGCGACCAGCAGCTTGATAAAGAAAAACTGCAAAAGGTTTTCAAGGTTTGGCGACATCAGCCAGTCATAGCCAGTCAGTCAACATGCAACTATACAACTGCTAGCATTCAACACAAACATATTTTGACGACGAAAGTTTCAACACACAAATTTTAATCAGGGTTTAAGGACTTGAGCCCTCGGCGTGGGTTGTGAGTGGGATTTGGAGCGTAGCAACACAATACTGCCCGGATTAACAGAAACACGAGCGTTGATAAACCGCGCAAGCTGTCGGGGAAAGTTTACATTTGATTTAACATTCAGCTTTTGCTTCTTCACAATAGGCGCGGACTAGAGGAGGCAGCACGGACACCAGAGAATGAGAAGACCCGTGGTGACGAGATTGCTGAAGCTGTTCTTCTATCTGCTACCCTCCACCCTGCTCGTCTACACATCCACCACCCTCCTGTTTGCTGACAGGGGAGTCTACTCTAAAATAGATGGCGCCATGCCAATTGTAATGACAGGGATGTCAAATCTACACACGTCAAATGGTAGTGGCCTCCCTTTGCTGAATTCAGCAGATGAAAAAACTGACAACAACATCTTGAAATGGATAACTAAATCGGGTCTTGGCTTTTTACATTCAGGTAACACTTGTAAATTTATGTTGTAACAATTCTAGTTCTACTGTGCATATGATAGTATAGTACTACCGCGATACCCGAGTTCCCTAACATGAGACGTGTGAGTTCCGAGCCGTAGAGCGAGCGATGTTTTGCTTTGAACTGCGAGAAACATTTGAGATACGAGGTATGGCGGTCGGCAAAGACTGATGAAGAGAAAAGCAATAACGGAAATGAAATAAAAGTAGCACAAAAGTTAGAGTAACTCTTTGGTTCAACGAACAAAAGGTAAAGTAACAGTTAGGTTCAATGAACAAAAGTTAGAGTAACATTTAGGTTCAATGAACAAAAGATAGAGTAACATTTAGGTTCAATGAACAAAAGTTAGAGTAACATTTAGGTTCAATGAACAAAAGATAGAGTAACATTTAGGTTCAATGAACAAAAGGTAGAGTAACATTTAGGTTCAATGAATAAAAGGTAGAGTAACATTTAGGTTCAATGAACAAAAGATAGAATAACATTTAGGTTCAATGAACAAAAGTTAGAGTAACATTTAGGTTCAATGAACAAAAGATAGAGTAACATTTAGGTTCAATGAACAAAAGGTAGAGTAACATTTAGGTTCAATGAATAAAAGGTAGAGTAACATTTAGGTTCAATGAACAAAAGTAAGAGTAACATTTAGGTTCAATGAACAAAAGATAGAGTAACATTTAGGTTCAATGAACAAAAGTTAGAGTAACATTTAGGTTCAATGAACAAAAGATAGAGTAACATTTCGGTTCAATGAACAAAAGTTAGAGTAACATTTAGGTTCAATGAACAAAGGTTAGAGTAACATTTAGGTTCAATGAACAAAAGATAGAGTAACATTTAGGTTCAATGAATAAAAGGTAGAGTAACATTTAGGTTCAATGAATAAAAGGTAGAGTAACATTTAGGTTCAATGAACAAAAGATAGAGTAACATTTAGGTTCAATGAATAAAAGTTAGAGTAACATTTAGGTTCAATGAACAAAAGTTAGGGTAACGTTAAGTTCAATGAACTTGAGTGAAGTTTGATGAAGTTCCATTTAGTTTAGGGATTACGAGCCGTCATAGGCGCGGATTGTGACTTTGTTGGTGTTGGAGACAATGAATTTTTTCTTATCGTCATCATCATCTATTCTCGTTCGTGCCCAAGACACGTGGGGCAGATGAAGTACAGTTCATCGGTTTCAGAGACATCGGCATTGATAGCGGCAATTTTCTAAAAACAATTCACTATATTATGTCAATTTTATCTTTAAACATTTCAAAGAGTTGAAACATAAGTTTAAAAAAAATTAGATCTAGACCTCCCGATAGATTGTGCAACCAAATCATAGTAGGCCTTCATTATTATTTTGTGGCAAAGCCTAAGACGATGGGGATCTAGTTATTTTTTCTCAAGTAATAAACTCAATATAATTACATTTTAAATCTAGAAATTTAAATATCGGCGCATTTAGAATGTGCTTGCGTGGTCAGGTGTGTAGAGCTCACGAGAAGAGGGGGAGAGGTGATTTGTTATGGAAACACTTGTAGCGGGCAGTGGCGGAACTAGAAAAAAAGGGCCACCCCGCAAAGAAATTTTTTGGGCCCCATATATATATGGGGCCCCATATATATATATATATATATATATATATATATATATATATATATATATATATATATATATATATATATATATATATATATATATATATATATATATATATATATATATATATATATATAAACAAAATATCAACATAGAATACACTTTTCGGGCTTGTTCGAGTTAAAACAAAAATTAAAAATACTTAGTTTTTATTAAAAATTAAAATTAAGTTACAACAACACGTCATTTTTTTTTTTTAATTTTTTTTTTTTTTTGTATATTTTTATTTTCCAATTTAATACAAATACAGTAACACTTTTCGAAAATCTCAGTTTTAATAAACGTTTGCTATAATACTTCCTTAAAGCAAGACGGTCAAAAGAATATGAAGCATGAAAACTTTGTACCTATAATGGTTTCTCGCGTTATGTTTATTATTATGTTTTTTTTTGTATTTATATTATTAATGTTAAATATATTTCCTTTTCATGCTTTGTAATTCTTTATTATGTTTTTTTTTAAAATAATAATTAAGAGAAGTAATTGCTTTTAAATTTTTTAAGAGCAAATCTATTAAAAGGTGCTTAAGAGCACACATATTTGACTATTTAAAAAGGGGAAATAAGTCATAGAAGTGGTTTGAACGTTTGCCTATCTTTCACGCCATGAATTTATTTTCAAAATAATTTGCCGTCAACAGCGTGTGTTTGATTGTAGGAGAAAGAGTACTCTGAATGGTGGCTATAAAATAAAAATAATCAACAGCAGCTACGGTATTCTTTTTACAAAACAACCATCAAGTCAAAAATGAAAGAAAATAATTATTTTTTAACTGTAAAAATTTTTTATTATGGTCGGCAATGGGCCCCTAAATGGCGTGGCCCCCCCCCCCCCCCCCCCCGCATTGCGGGGTCTGGCGGCACTGTAGTTCCGCCCCTGGTAGCGGGAAGTGTCGGTAAGGTTCAGTAAAAGTAATATGACGTCACGTTGATTACACGAATTTTATCCCAGCCCGTATAGTCATTGATAGCTAGACAGCCACAAATGACATCAACTAGTTCGGTCTACAGCCCCACTAACCTACCCTCTTTAATAAAAAAAAATAGTTTATTACCGGTTCCAACCTCTGACTACCTTTAGGAAAAATAGCATAAAATCGAGAGGTACACAGCGGTAAGTTTACACGCTGTTGACTAACGGATATCATGGCAAAGTTTTATTTCTAAAATTAAATTCCTAACATCTTTCCGTTTTTTTTAATCCAGCCCGAAAACAAGTGGCTTTCCAGGCTTTATAAAAGTCTAACATTTACTTTTCTAGATATTTTCTAGACTGCACGAACGCTGAAAGCGCCTTATGCTATGAGTAATTTTTTTGTATAAAACGAGAAATAAAATAAACAGAGGAGGTTACTACTTACAAATGTTATGATTGTTAATAGTATTAATTATTAACATATAGGGCCTAATTTATACTAAGTCGTCTAAAATCTACTCATTTTATCAACATTTTATGGGCTCTACTTTCAGTATTCAGTCCTAGTAAAGTTGTTACTGAAAATGTCGAATACCCAAATTAAATAATCAATTAATAGCGTAGCAAGGCCAACATTACATTCTATTTAATTAGTAATGTGGCAGAATGCTTTGAGAGATACAAGTTTTTGTTGACGTAGTCCACTTCCAGGGGGGGGGGGGGGGTGTTGGACAAAAGTGGACACCTGTGGACAGGGGGGAGGGGAGTCTAAAAGTAAAAATGTGTGAGGACGTCACAAATGGATGACCCTTTCTAGCGAAGTTTTAAATCTCTAGACACGTATAGTATACATGTAGGCTATACTTGTCGCTTGTGTAAACGTTTTGTTATGCAGTGTTGTTTAGTTTATAGATTTTTATCGTGCTGTTACATGCATTAATATACGCGAGAACTCAACAATGTGATGACTGTATGCCTCTATGAGCTTAGTGGCACATAATAAACGAAACCGGCAGTGTTACAATGGTGTGTGTGTTAGGTGGAGGTTGTGAGTGGTTTGATCTGGTTCGTGTGTTGTTTGTTGTGTGTAGTGACGTAGGGTGTGTTGTATGGGGAGTAGTGTGTGATGTGGGAGATTCGATTAGATTGTGAGAGGTGGGTAGTGGTGTGTGGTGTTGTGGAGTGTGGTTTTAATGTGTGTTTAATGTTGCGGGGAGTGGTGTGTGGTGTTGTGGGTTGTAGGATGGTGTTCCGGGCGTGTGGGGGTTTGATTCAAGGTGCTGTGCGGGTGGGGTGCTTTAGGGTGTGGAGCTGGCTGGTGTGGGGCGTGGGATAATCCGTGTGTTGTGTGTTTTGTGGTAAGAACGCTAGTATATGTTGTGGGTTGAGTGACTCGGTGTGGATCGTGGTGTTAAAGGTTAAGGTGCTGCAGTGTGATGTGTTGTGTTGGTAGAGGGGTGGGTTTTGGAATGGGGAGTGGAGTGGGGTTGGGTTTGGGTTTTAGTTCCCGGTGTTGTCGGGTTGAATAAATGGCCAACACCGACAAAAAGGCCTACATTTAAAAAACCTACAGAACCTAAGGCAGACAGACTACAAGACCGAAACACAAAATCCCAACAAACAATATGGGCGATAGACTATAACACCAATAGAGAATAAAAACTTGTGTTGCAACATATGAGTGACTACTGTAGGTTAACAAGGTGATACAGCCATCAAAGAAAGGAAGAAACATCCACCGGCGTCACCACACATGATTAACAAGGCGGAACGTCAAAGGAACAGTGCTAGATGCTAGATGCTAGATGCTACCCTTATAATGTGAACATTTGGGACAAATCGACTAATAATGACGGGGTTTATCTGAACAACAAAATATAAAACATCGGTGCAGATGCCCCCATATTTCGTCAATAAATGAGACATATCCGTAACTCCTGTGTTTTACAATGTCCACTTTTGTATCTCATTACAGGTGATCATAGTGGCGAACTTTACCCCGAATTTAACAACAGTACTGATCCACAGGGATTAGGTAGGTACAATCCAGTATTGATCTTAGTTTTTGTCTAGATCAGTTTGAGAGGAAGGATTGAGGATCTAACTGATCTAACACAAACCCACTATCAGCAACCTCGACAACCACACGTAACTGGACAACACGCGCTTTTAACTGGACAACCTTTTAAGTCGACAACCACACTCGTTTTAACTAAACAACCACACATTTTTAAACTGGACAACCACATATGTTATAAATGGACAACCACATATGTTATAACTGGACAACCACACACGTTATAACTGGACAACCACATATGTTATAACTGGACAACCACACATTTTAAACTGGGCAACCACATATGTTATAACTGGACAACCACATATGTTATAAATGGACAACCACACACGTTATAACTGGACAACCACGCACGTTATAACTGGACAACCACGCACGTTATAACTGGACAACCACACATTTTAAACTGGGCAACCACATATGTTATAACAACTGGACAACCACACACGTTATAACTTGACAACCACACACGTTATACGTTGTCAACCAAACACGTAACTTCGCAACCACACTTGTAATTTGTACCAACGATATAACTGTAGGTATATTTGTCTAGATGAACCTAAAATAATTTTAAGTCTATTTGGTCTAGGTGAAGGGGGCGTGGCCGTGAACCTGAACGAATCACTGCTGACATCAGAAGAACTGGTTCAGAAAAAACAAGGGTGGATTCTCCACAACTTCAACGAGTACTTGAGCAAAAAGATGTCAGTTTTTAGAAGTTTACCGTACTGCTCAACACAGGCGTAAGGTTTTTTTCTATTTCCCTGTGTCTCAGATTTTACAATATCAAATGTATTTAATGTATTTCCCCTCACCAAATGTTTAGCACTTTTTTTAATAACATCATTAGCACCTGCCTAGAACCCTATCAAAAAAAGGACAAGCCGGCAGAATCTAGTTCACTTAAATCTGACTTTATAAATGGACCAGAGTCGGCTTTCATTAGATTTCTTTTATTTCTCATCACCCCAGATGTAAAGACTTGATCTCAAACTATACCGGTAAACTCGATGAGATCTCCGTCATCATCATTTTTCACAACGAGGCTTGGTCATCCTTGCTGAGGTCAGTGCACAGTATCCTCTCTAGAACCCCTGCACGTCTGCTGCGAGAGGTCATTCTTGTTGACGACAACTCAACTTTTGGTAAGTAACATCGAGGCTAGCTGGTGTACTCAGAACTTCTTTTTGGCCTCTCTTTGGGAGGAATGAGTGGCATCCCCTCCCCCCGTTACACGTCCCCTGAGGCAAAAAAATAAATAGGAAATATTTACTTGAAACACTATCCCCTCTCCCGTCCCCCCCCCCCCATACACGGAAATTTGTGCGCCCCCTCCCCGGAGAAAAATATCTGAAAGGAATACTTTATGCGCTAACGTCATAGCGGCAATGAGAAGCTGTCGTTAAGTCAAGTTAGCTGGTGTACTAAGTCAGGTTAGTGTACTAAGTCAGGTTAGTTGGTGTACTAAGTCATGTTAGCTGGTGTACTAAGTCAGGTTAGTGTACTAAGTCAGGTTAGTTGGTGTACTAAGTCAGGTTAGCTGGTGTACTAAGTCATGTTAGCTGGTGTACCAAGTCAGGTTAGTGTACTAAGTCAGGTTAGTTGGTGTACTAAGTCATGTTAGCTGGTGTACTAAGTCAAGCTAGTTGGTGTAAGTCAGGTTAGCTGGTGTTAGTCAGGTTAGTTGGTGTACTAAGTCAGGTTAGTTGGTGTACTAAGTCAGGTTAGCTGGTGTACTAAGTCAGGTTAGCTGGTGTACTAAGTCAGGTTAGTTGGTGTACTAAGTCAAGCTAGTTGGTGTACTAAGTCAGGTTAGTTGGTGTACTAAGTCAGGTTAGCTGGTGTACTAAGTCAGGTTAGCTGGGGTAAGTCAGGTTAGTGTACTAAGTCAGGTTAGCTGGTGTACTAAGTCAGGTTAGTTGGTGTACTAAGTCAGGTTAGCTGGTGTACTAAGTGAGGTTAGCTGGTGTAAGTCAGGTTAGTGTACTAAATCAGGTTAGTTGGTGTACTCAGTCAGGTTAGCTGGTGTACTAAGTCAGATTAGATGGTATACTAAGGTCATGGCCCTAGTAAAATTGTCCCCCAAAGCATCTTACGCTGCTCAGCAAATTTTTTACCGCCAAGTCTCCAATAAAAATGTGCACTGGGATTTGATGAAAAGAAAATATGTTGCCTGCTGCTCCACCAAAATTATTTCGTGCCTTCGTGCTGAGCTGCTGTGGTTATCCGACCATGATAAATAGTTTTTAATAAACTCATATCCAGCTCACAATGTCTGTCTCACTTTCTCCATGTCTTTAGGTTTGTGGATAAGCTTATGACGTAATTTTGACACACTTCTAATGTCACGATTTTGTTCCAACTTTCCAGATACGTAAGTTTACAAAAACAACGCAAGCTAGTCTAATCTAATTATATAGTAAATATATGGGACGTCCTGGCCTAGCGGTAGAGAGCTAGACTTATAACCCGAAAGTCTCGAGTTCGAATCACCATCCTATCACTATGTCACCATCCCTGCCACTAGGTCACCATCCTGTCTATAATTTATGTCACCGTCCTGCCACTATGTCACCGTCCTGCCACTATGTCACCATCCTGCCACTATGTCACCGTCCTGCCACTATGTCACCGTCCTGCCACTATGTCACCGTCCTGCCACTATGTCACCGTCCTGCCACTATGTCACTGTCCTGCCACTATGTCACCATCCTGCCACTATGTCACCGTCCTGCCACTATGTCACCGTTCTGCCACTATGTCACCGTCCTGCCACTATGTCACCGTCCTGCCACTATGTCACCGTCCTGCCACTATGTCACCCAGTCTATAATCTATGTCACCATCCTGCCACTATGTCACCGTCCTGCCACTATGTCCCCGTCCTGCCACTATGTCACCATCCTGCCACTATGTCACCGTCCTGCCACTATGTCACCGTCCTGCCACTATGTCACCGTCCTGCCACTATGTCACCGTCCTGCCACTATGTCACTGTCCTGCCACTATGTCACCATCCTGCCACTATGTCACCGTCCTGCCACTATGTCACCATCCTGCCACTATGTCACCGTTCTGCCACTATGTCACCGTCCTGCCACTATGTCACCGTCCTGCCACTATGTCACCGTCCTGCCACTATGTCACCCAGTCTATAATCTATGTCACCATCCAGCCACTATGTCACCGTCCTGCCACTATGTCACCCTCCTGCCACTATGTCACCGTCCTGCCACTATGTCACCCTCCTGCCACTATGTCACCGTCCTGCCACCATGTCACCATCCTGCCACTATGTCACCATCCTGTCACCATCCTGCCACTATGTCACCATCCTGCCACTATGTCACCGTCCTGCCACTATGTCACCGTCCTGCCACTATGTCACCGTCCTGCCACTATGTCACCATCCTGCCACTATGTCACCATCCTGCCACTATGTCACCGTCCTGCCACTATGTCACCGTCCTGCCACTATGTCACCCTGTCTATAATCTATGTCACCGTCCTGTATCTTAAAACCTACCACTCTCCAAACATGCCGTCACATGACTTGCAGTAGCCACCCCATCACGTGACTGTATGTAACAGATTGCAAGTACGGCGAGTTCGTTATATAAACCATGCAGACCAGAGTGAGTTATCTGTCCCTTGCAGATCAGATCAGACTAAGAGATTTTCGCCTCCCTGGGGTGATCTTAGAGGTTTATGTTTTTATAGCATCTAAGATCTGAAGGAGGGAGAAGTTAGTGAAATAAATCTGGTCTAAAGTCAATACATTGCTTTTATCCATGGTGAAAATATTTTAATCTATCAGTCCGCAGATGTGGGGATTACCTTACTGCGGTCGTGGCTGATTTAAGGAGGGTGTGTGTGTGGGTCTAGACTATATGTGTGTGGGTCTATTTTGTGTGGGTCTAGACTATCTGTGTGTGGGGGTCTAGACTGTCTTTTGTGGGTCTAGACTATCTGTGTGCAGAGTTTCTTCCAGACATCTCTTCGGGGGGGCGAAGCCCCCCCCCCCCGAAAAATTTTTACCGCCCCCCCGAACGAAATGAAATTTATATAATTTATATAGAAAATATATACTTTTAACAGTGTCCGCCCCCCCCCGAAGAAAGTCTACCGCCCCCCCCCCCCCCGAAAATTTCAAGTGCCCCCCCGGAGAAAAAAGTCTGGAAGAAACACTGTCTGTGTGTGGGTCTAGACTATCTGTGTGTGGGTCTATTTTGTGTGGGTCTAGACTATCTGTGTGTGGGGGTCTAGACTGTCTTTTGTGGGTCTAGACTATCTGTGTGGGTCTAGACTATTTGTGTGTGGGTCTACTTTGTGTGGGTCTAGACTATCTGTGTGTGGGGGTCTAGACTGTCTTTTGTGGGTCTAGACTATCTGTGTGTGGGTCTAGACTATTTGTGTGTGGGTCTAGACTATCTGTGTGGGTCTAGACTATCTGTGTGGGTCTAGACTATCTTTATGTGGGTCTAGACTATCTGTGTGTGGGTCTAGACTATTTGTGTGTGGGTCTATTTTGTGTGGGTCTAGACTATCTGTGTGTGGGGGTCTAGACTGTCTTTTGTGGGTCTAGACTATCTGTGTGTGGGTCTAGACTATTTGTGTGTGGGTCTACTTTGTGTGGGTCTAGACTATCTGTGTGTGGGGGTCTAGACTGTCTTTTGTGGGTCTAGACTATCTGTGTGTGGGTCTAGACTATTTGTGTGTGGGTCTAGACTATCTGTGTGGGTCTAGACTATCTGTGTGGGTCTAGACTATCTTTATGTGGGTCTAGACTATCTGTGTGTGGGTCTAGACTATCTGTGTGTGGGTCTAGACTATCTGTGTGGGTCTAGACTATCTGTGTGGGTCTAGACTATCTTTATGTGGGTCTAGACTATCTGTGTGTGGGTCTAGACTATCTGTGTGTGGGTCTAGACTATCTGTGTGGGTCTAGACTATCTGTGTGGGTCTAGACTATCTTTATGTGGGTCTAGACTATCTGTGTGTGGGTCTAGACTGTCTTTGTATGTGGGTCTTGAATGACTTTGTGTGGGTCTAGATCGACGTTGATGGCACCAATGCGTTTAGATTGAAACTTTAATCAAACTAAGTAATCACAAAAGTAATCACACCATTTTTCAGATTACTTAAAGGGACCGTTGCACAGATACTTTAGCCCTTATCCCAAGGTAAAGATCATCCACAGCCCCGGGAGGGTGGGGCTGATCCAAGCGCGGATCTTGGGCTTCGATTTGTCAACAGCTCCAGTGGTCGTGTTTCTAGACGCGCACATCGAATGTTTCCCAGGTAGGAATCTGGGTGTAAAGGTGATCTTTTCTTCTAGGTAATCTTTTCATCCAGGTGATTTTTGCTTTCAGTCATCTTTTCATCCAGCTCATTTTAAATGTTTATATATCTGATATTTTCATTCAAAAGATCATTATACACACACATACACACACACACACACATATATATATACAGATTGAAAGATACGTAGGTAGATAGACAGCATAAATGAAAGATTTGCAAATGGTATTAACTAAATGTTAAGAATTATTAACAAAATGTTAAGAATATACTAAAAAGATGTTAACCAGACGTATGTGTCCCCAGGGTGGGCCGAGTCCCTACTGATCCGGATAGCCCAGAACCCAAAAGCCGTGCCCTACCCCATCATCGAGACGATCAACGACAAAACCTTCAGCGTCGAGTGCAACAACGGGCCGGCACATTACGGGGGCTTCAACTTCAGGAACCTGATGTACGAGTGGACGGAGATACCGCAGAGGGAGAAGGATAGAAGGGTCCTGGGTACAGAACCCTTCAGGTGAGATCACGTGATCAATTGGCATTAGGCACAGAACCCTTCAGGTGAGATAGTCTTTAGTTCCCCCCCCCCCTTTCCCAGAGAAAAAAGTTTGAAAAAAACGCTGAAGGCTACTACCCTTGTGTAATATTCTGTTGGAATCTTTTTGTAAACTTCGTCCGCCTTAGATTTAGAAACATAAGCTTTCAGAGAACCAAAGCACAGACCAGCTTAAACCGCCACAAGAATACCCTCAAACTCCGCCCACCAGATATCGTATTTCGGGCTGTTTGTTTGCTATGACCCGGCTATACCATGCTGCTCCCTCTCACACAATTCTATCTAGTTGCTCTTACATTTCCCTCCCTCTGCCAGAGGCGTAGCTAGGGGGGGGGGCGGGGGTGGGCGGCCGCCCCGGGCGCCGACCCTATGGGGGCGCCAAAAGGGGTGGGAAAAAATTTTTAAAGCTGATTTTATGCTGCAGTTTTAAATTATAAACTGTCTAAGTTAAGAAATGTAATGGCTACACGCCTTTACATACTGATTTAACTACCTTGATTTCTTAATGTAAAACATATACTCTTAGAAACAGTGACCGGCAAAACCGCTTTGAAGCTTTTCCTAGATGGGGGGGGGGCGCTTTTTCGAGACTTAAAACGGAAGAATTTACACTAGATTGTTGAGTCGAGAAACGTTACCACTATTAAAAGAAACCAATTGTATTAAAACTATTGTACGATTGTTGAACTGTAAAATACGTTAGTGACTTTTATCAAGATGGTGCAGGGGGGCGCTTTTAGGCTAAATAAAATAGCAATATTACACAGGATTCTGAGTAAACAACCTTTAGCTCTCAGAAAGAAACGAATTGTACTGTGCATTGTATAATTGTGTAACGTTTTTAAAAAAAGTTAGTTACGTTAAAAACCGCTCTACAAACTTTGTCCAAGATGGTTGTGATGAGTGTGTGTGGGGGTGGGGGGCGCTTTTTTCGCTAACAAAAATCGCAAGTATTTGTACTGGATTGGTGAGTAGATAACTCTCTTAACACTTAGTAAAGAAACCAAGTGTATTAACGCGTAATGTACAATTTCAATAGCCAGTTTTGTTAAAAAAAAAAGACGCGACTAGTTCTTTGTAAGATTCTTACGATTCTCTCAACTTCAACGTGAGAGATCAGATAGTTTTGATTGATTGCATTACATCTTACCTGGATCACTGAACTATATTAAAGAGAACTAAATATCACGGATTCTTGAATCCCTAAGCCACTAACCACCACTTTTTTCCATGCTCTTATTTCATTCTCCACTGTCTGTAATCTAGCTCCAAGCCATACAGTAAAAGAGACCACATTTAGTTATAGATCCTGATTTAATTTTTTTAACACGTTTTTCTTAACTCAGCTTCGCGTTTGTTTGGATGTTTGTTGTTAAAATTGACATCGAAAATTAGCCCACTTCTGATTGCTCTAGAGATCTGAAATTTGGAATGCAGGCTATTTTCGCCTAACAATTTCAGATGCAATCATAAAAACTAGCAATTAGAGACCTAAATTAGCTTATTTAAATTACGCCCCAAGGACCCTAAAATCGAGGACATGATTTCTAAACCTACCGACAAGACTGGAGGCCTATTGACACAGTTACTTCGGCCCCAATCGATGTGAGCGCGCTGGCCGTGATCGTATAGTGGTTAGTACTTCGCGTTGTGGCCGCGACAACCCAGGTTCGAATCCTGGTCACGGCTTGTAGGCTTAATTAAATTACGCCCTTTCTCTGTTTAAAGCGTATCGGTCGCTCAAGATTTTTAGTCCGTGTATTTATAAACACTTAGTCAAGTCATACTTAATCAAGTCATTAGATAAAGTAGAAAATAAACTATATAAAAAACTTTTTAAAAACCACGTTTTTCATGTGTAGCAACGGACTAAAAAAGGGAAAATAAAATACTTAAAAAAAACTTTTTAAAAAACCACGTTTTTCTTGTGGACTAAAAAGTAGAAAATAAATTTTTCTTTTGTGCTTCCTCGAGCTGTGCAGGTTCTTTTGATGACTGACAGAAAACGTGGGTCGGGCAGATGGGTCGGGAAATTTGATGGTGAACGTACCCACGTTTTTTGTCAGTCGTCACAAGAACCTGCACAGCTCGAAGAAGCACAAAAGAAAAATTTATTTTCTACTTTTTAGTCCACAAGAAAAACGTGGTTTTTTTAAAAGTTTTTTTTAAGTATTTTATTGACAATGCATTTGAATTCCACATTTTCTTAGAGTGTTAAAACGCGTTTTATTGCTGCTGATTATAATCAGAACGTCATGGGCTATCATTAAATTGATTGTTACTGCTTCTTCAATCAATACAATTAGTTCTGCATTTGTTGTTGACGTTGTGCGAGCAGTGTTTCTTCCAGACTTTTTTCTCCGTGGGGGCACTTGAAATTTTCGAGGGGGGGGGGGCGGTAGACTTTCTTCGGGGGGGGGGCGGACACTGTTAAACGTATATATTTTCTATATATAAATTATATAAATTTCATTTCGTTCTGGGGGGCGGTAAACATTTTTCGGGGGGGCTTTGCCCCCCCCCCCCCCCCCAAGAGATGTCTGGAAGAAACTCTGTGTGCGAGAAGGCAGGGAAAATCTGCAAAATCCAAGACTACGAGCTGTTAACATCCGTTGAATTCCAGTTTGTTTTCTCTAGCTTGTTTTGTCATACCATCAACCAATCAACGAAATACCCATGTCGTATTCCAATGTGAACAATAAATATTTCTGATAACTTCTTCTTGTATGTCACTTGTGTGTCCTTACTCTAACAAACTTCGAATCCAACTATGTACCATATCACAACAGAGATCGTTCCAAAACTAGAACATAAAAGGCTGGTCTAAACATATTATCGTTAGCTACAAACTACCCTCTAACACAGATCAGGCTTATTTTTTTTTACTGACATTACTAATCTTTCGCAAAAAAAGTTAAACGCATCTTAATGGGAATTAAATTGTCGTAAAGTTTTAAGGAATGAAAATCATACAATGTAATTATTAAACCTTGTCCGGACTGTAGCATACACGCTTACACACACGCTTACACACACGCTTACACTCTTACCCACACACAAGCTTATATATAAACACACTATCACACACACATAATTATACACACACACATGTATATATATATATATATATATATATATATATATATATATATATATATATATATATATATATATATATATATATATATATATATATATATATATATAAGCGGGGGGGGGGGGCGCCAAATTGAAAGTTCGCCCCGGGCGCCGGGAAGGGTCGCTACGCCTCTGCCCTCTGCCACACCATTTTACCAAGTTGCTCTTACCTTTCCCTCCCTCTGTAACACAGGTCTACCTTGTTGCTCTTACATTTCCCTCCCTCTGCCACACAACTCTACCATGACGCTCTTACCTTTCCCTCCCTCTGTCACACAGGTCTCCCGTCATGCCTGGCGGTTTGTTTGCAATATCCCGGAACTACTTCCTAGAGCTCGGCAAGTATGACGCGGAAATGGATTTCTGGGGAGGGGAAAACATTGAGCTGTCTTTTAAGGTAACAAAATATCAGCAGGATTTTGGTTTCTTTAAATTTTTACTAGACAGCCAATGCTACCTCAAGAAGAAAAAAGCAAAATTCCATCTTCAGACCTAATAAACCCATTGGGCAGATGAAGTAGAGTTCGTATGTGTTTTTTTACCTCGGCATATGTAGGGCACTATGCACTATGCCCAGCCGAATTGACTAATACTATCCCCAACATGAAATACGTACCCATTAAAGCTGGGTGGACTCAGGGACGTATTGCAGTTTCGAGTCCGGACCGATATCCGAACTCGAGACCTTCGGGCAAACAGCCGACGTTCTACCTTTCAGCCCATCCTATCCCATCTAGAGGTAGATTTTGTGTTTGCGTGGTTCTTTAAAAGAAAGTTTTAACACCAACCCCACCTCTCGCGTATGTGTTGTTTGGTCATAAGATACACAGTACACTGTAGATGTGTCGCTCTAAATTTAGAATGTTCCCGAAGGTTTTTCCTGTTGATGTAAGATAATGTAGTAGTTACCCTTGTCAGGCGTGGATGTGTGGGGGGAGCCTGGAGATGGACATCTGCTCCCACGTGGGGCACATCTTCCGGTCCCACACCCCCATCAAGGGCGACCACTCGGCTGTGGTCAGGAACTCGGTCCGGGCAGCTGAAGTATGGATGGACGACTACAAGAACTACTTCTACGAGAACATCAACTACCAAACGGTAACCTTTGCCTCATCAGTTGGGGTTATTTCCGGTTTCATTTTCTTCGTCTAGCTGGACCGATGGGTATAGTAGAGTCGTTCTGGTTTTACCATTCCACTGTTTCCCACCATCCTCTGCATCTCTCCCAGTGTACAATCCGTCCATTCCCTGACGATGTTTCCCCATTTTGTTCCTTGAAAGAAAAAGAAGAAAATGTACGCTAGATCTAGCAACCTTACGAGCTTGTGGCCTGACCTGACCTGACGACCAATATGCAGCTTTTAGCTCCAAATGTGCAGCTGTTAGCTCCCAATATGTGCAACTTTTAGCTCCCAATATGCAGCTTTAGCTCCCACTGTGCAGCTGTTTGCTCCCAATATTTATGCTGGTGTCCTGATTTTGTTAAAGATTTTACACAAGAAACAAATCACAAAAACATACGCTGTGTTGTTTACAATTATTTGGTAAGGCTACACGGTATCTTACCAGCCGTGCCTGCTTCAAACCCTTCACTCCCAAGCGCTTGTAGAGTGATTTTATGATTGTTTCCTGAGGCATTCTTCGTTATTTTGTTTCGTTGTTTTTTTACTCCGTACTAATCTTGCGGTTTAAACTAATTTTATAATCATTTCGAAATTCTATAACACATTAAAATAAATTATTAACAAACCACACAATGTAAAATAACTTTACTCTTATGTTCTCTGATTCCCTGTTTTACCATTTAAGGGTAATTTCGGCAACTTTACTCTGTATGTTCTCTGATTCACTGTTTTACTATTTAAGGGTAATTTCGGCAACTTTACTCTGTATGTTCTCTGATTCACTGTTTTACTATTTAAGGGTAATTTCGGCAACTTTACTCTGTATGTTCTCTGATTCACTGTTTTACTATTTAAGGGTAATTTCGGCAACTTTACTCTGTATGTTCTCTGATTCCTTGTTTTACCATTTAAGGGTAATTTCGGCAACTTTACTCTGTATGTTCTCTGATTCCCTGTTTTACCATTTAAGGGTAATTTCGGCAACTTTACTCTGTATGTTCTCTGATTCCCTGTTTTACCATTTAAGGGTAATTTCGGCAACTTTACTCTGTATGTTCTCTGATTCACTGTTTTACCATTTAAGGGTAATTTCGGCAACTTTACTCTGTATGTTCTCTGATTCACTGTTTTACCATTTAAGGGTAATTTCGGCAACTTTACTCTGTATGTTCTCTGATTCCCTGTTTTACCATTTAAGGGTAATTTCGGCAACTTTACTCTGTATGTTCTCTGATTCACTGTTTTACCATTTAAGGGTAATTTCGGCAACTTTACTCTGTATGTTCTCTGATTCACTGTTTTACCATTTAAGGGTAATTTCGGCAACTTTACTCTGTATGTTCTCTGATTCCCTGTTTTACCATTTAAGGGTAATTTCGGCAACTTTACTCTGTATGTTCTCTGATTCACTGTTTTACCATTTAAGGGTAATTTCGGCAACTTTACTCTGTATGTTCTCTGATTCACTGTTTTACCATTTAAGGGTAATTTCGGCAACTTTACTCTGTATGTTCTCTGATTCACTGTTTTACCATTTAGGGGTAATTTCGGCAACTTTACTCTGTATGTTCTCTGATTCACTGTTTTACCATTTAAGGGTAATTTCGGCAACTTTACTCTGTATGTTCTCTGATTCACTGTTTTACCATTTAAGGGTAATTTCGGCAATGTGACGGACCGGAAGCGTCTGCGCGAAGGTCTCAAATGCCACAACTTTGAATGGTACCTCAGAAACGTGTTTCCTGAGTTACCCGTCCCACACAGTATAAAAAACTTGGGGTCGGTAAGTATTGTGACTTCTTTCTTTCGTAGTTAATACCAAAAGCAGTCACTATATTATGAGCAATGTTATTTTAACACCTAATATAAATGCATTACGAAAACAAAATTACACAACTCAAATTTAAAGTGTAATGAATTTCCTGAACTTTTGAAACATTTAGATTTTAAGTTTTGTCGCACACTTTTTGCGCGCTCTCTTCTTCTGCTATAATTTCAAAAAAGTCCCGCATTTTAATGTTTTAGTGTACTCATGTACGGCACAATGGTGGAAAATCACAAATACAATTGTAGCTAGAGGCCTTTCAGAACAAACTTACAAAAAATACTGAAAACATTCCGGCCAAACACAATCTCAAATGTGGTGTTTCAAAAAAAAAAAAAGAAAACTTATTCAACTATAAACAGTTAATAGTTATCAGAAGCTAGAAAATAGAGATGGTTGGGTTACGTGGGAGATACATTGGCTAGGCCTGCTCTTAGGTGGACACCACTGGGGAAGAGAAAACATGGATGGCCAAAAGACACATGGAGACGATCAATAGAGAAAGAGTTGATGAAGAGAGGCCAAACATCCCAACAGGCAGAGGTTATAGCTAGAGACAAAGGATGCTAATTTTTTGATACCTCGTGCACCATTGGGAGTTGATAGACGATGATAAAGATTTTAAATTTTAGGCTTGAACACGAAAATAACGTGATTAGATGAGCTAAGTAGTTGTTTAAACCAGCATGAACGTTGAACTAAACCCGCCCCATTTTGACGTGTTACAGTGTGTAATCATCCGTGAAATCAATTGAGCAGCATGTTCATTCGCTAATTTGTTGTAAATTTATACTGTGGAGAACGATTTAACGAACTTAGTAAATTGCATTTTTCTTTCCACGACAGCCCCTTGTCTTAGAGTGAAGCAAAATATTTTTGTCAGATTTATTTCTTATTATCAATTTTCTTTTCAGATAAAAAATGTAGCCTACTCAAAATGTCTGTACAAAAACTCCGACAAGTTGGTCTTGAGCGAATGTCCTAAACATTCAGTTTTCTATCAGTGGCTGCTGACAAATCAGGGCCAGTTGACCTGGGACGCCACATCGCTGTGCGCTGACAACGGTGCCTTGTATTTTACCAAGACCTGTAACTCGACAAGTGTTGGGTGGCTCTACCGACAGGTGAGTGGTTAGAGAACTTCCATAGCCTGTATACATCATCTTGTCTATGTAGCATGTATACATCATCTTGTCCATCTAGACTGTATACATCATCTTGTCCATCTAGCCTGTATACATCATCTTGTCCATCTAGCCTGTATACATCATCTTGTCCATCTAGCCTGTATACATCATCTTGTCCATCTAGCCTGTATACATCATCTTGTCCATCTAGCCTGTATACATCATCTTATCCATCTACCCTGTATACATCATCTTGTCCATCTAGACTGTATACATCATCTTGTCCATCTAGACTGTATACATCATCTTGTCTATGTAGACTGTATACATCATCTTGTCCACGTAGACTGTATACATCATCTTGACCATCTAACCTGTATACATCATCTTGTCCATCTAGCATGTATACATCATCTTATCCATCTACCCTGTATACGTCATCTTGTCCATCTAGACTGTATACATCATCTTGTCCATCTAGACTGTATACATCATCTTGTCTATGTAGCCTGTATACATCATCTTGTCTATGTAGCCTGTATACATCATCTTGTCCATCTAGCCTGTATACATCATCTTGTCTATGTATACTGTATACATCATCTTGTCCATCTAGATTATATACATCATCTTGTCCATCTAGACTGTATACATCATCTTGTCCATCTAGACTGTATACATCATCTTGTCTATGTAGACTGTATACATCATCTTGTCCACGTAGACTGTATACATCATCTTGACCATCTAACCTGTATACATCATCTTGTCCATCTAGCCTGTATACATCATCTTATCCATCTACCCTGTATACATCATCTTGTCCATCTAGACTGTATACATCATCTTGTCCATCTAGACTGTATACATCATCTTGTCTATGTAGACTGTATACATCATCTTGTCCACGTAGACTGTATACATCATCTTGACCATCTAACCTGTATACATCATCTTGTCCATCTAGCCTGTATACATCATCTTATCCATCTACCCTGTATACATCATCTTGTCCATCTAGACTGTATACATCATCTTGTCCATCTAGACTGTATACATCATCTTGTCTATGTAGACTGTATACATCATCTTGTCTATGTAGCCTGTATACATCATCTTGTCTATGTATACTGTATACATCATCTTGTCCATCTAGATTATATACATCATCTTGTCCATCTAGACTATATACATCATCTTGTCCATCTAGACTGTATACATCATCTTGTCCATGTAGCCTGTATACATCATCTTGTCCATCTAGATTATATACATCATCTTGTCCATCTAGACTATATACATCATCTTGTCCATCTAGACTATATACATCATCTTGTCCATCTAGCCTGTATACATGATCTTGTCTATGTAGCCTGTATACATGATCTTGTCCATCTAGCCTGTATACATCATCTTGTCTATGTAGCCTGTAAACATCATCTTGTCTATGTAGCCTGTATACATCATCTTGTCTATGAAGCCTGTATACATCATCTTGTCCATCTAGCCTGTATACATCATCTTGACCATCTAGCCTGTATACATCATCTTGTCCATCTAGACTGTATACATCATCTTGTCCATCTAGCCTGTATACATCATCTTGTCTATGTAGACTGTATACATCATCTTGTCCATCTAGCCTGTATACATCATCTTGTCTATGTAGACTGTATACATCATCTTGTCCATCTAGCCTGTATACATCATCTTGTCCATCTAGCCTGTATACATCATCTTGTCTATGTAGCCTGTATACATCATCTTGTCCATCTAGCCTGTATACATCATCTTGTCTATGTAGCCTGTATACATCATCTTGTCCATCTAGCCTGTATACATCATCTTGTCTATGTAGCCTGTATACATCATCTTGTCCATCTAGCCTTTATACATCATCTTGTCCATCATCTTGTCTATGTAGCCAGTATACATCATCTTGCCCATCTAGCCTGTATACATCATCTTGTCTATGTAGCCTGTATACATCATCTTGTCCATCTAGCCTTTATACATCATCTTGTCCATCATCTTGTCTATGTAGCCTGTATACATCATCTTGTCCATCTAGACTGTATATATCATCTTGTACATCTAGCCTGTATACATGATCTTGTCTATGTAGCCTGTATACATCATCTTGTCCATCTAGACTGTATATATCATCTTGTACATCTAGCCTGTATACATCATCTTGTCTATGTAGACTGTATACATCATCTTGTCCATGTAGCCTGTATACATCATCTTGACCATGTAGCCTGTATACATCATCTTGTCCATCTAGACTGTATATATCATCTTGTACATCTAGCCTGTATACATCATCTTGTCTATGTAGACTGTATACATCATCTTGTCCATCTAGCCTGTATACATCATCTTGTCTATGTAGACTGTATACATCATCTTGTCCATCTAGCCTGTATACATCATCTTGTCTATGTAGACTGTATACATCATCTTGTCCATCTAGACTGTATACATCATCTTGTCTATGTAGCCTGTATACAATCTTGGTCGCCCCCCCCCCCCCGCCCCCACCCGGTCTCTGCCCCATCCAGCAAGATTGATTTCCGGCAGACGTAAAACAACCTCAGTGGTTTTAAAACAATACCACCACCCCACCCACCCCTACACACATCATACTCGTGATTTTTCCGCAACCTGTGTAACATATTGAGAAACAACAAAAATGGCCGCAGACCTGTCACAAAGAAAACTAAAAATTTTAATCGCCAATTCCCTGACCGAATATTTAAGAATAGTTTTCCTTGCATTTGCATCTCATTATGTTGAAGCATTAAAATAGTGAGTAATCGTCTCCAAGTGTTATATTGTGTTAATATCATACATCTTTAGTGTGAATGTTTTTGATAAGTTAATCTATAGCGACTTGTTTCATGGGAGGATGTGTGCCATACATTTCTTGTTTGAATTATTGTGTTCGGGTTAATCCTAGAGTGCCATTGTAATGTAAGTTTGTTGTTCACAGGACAAGACTTTGTTACACCAGCCCACAGGCAGGTGCCTGTCTGCAGGAGTCACTGACGCAGTTGTCTCGCTTTCCCCCTGTACCAACAGCCCGCAGCAGAAGTGGGATTTTGCCGAGAGACGAAAGGATTTGAAATTTCCTGTCTGAACACATTTTTAGAAAGTTAAACTAGAGCGAGAGACGAAGAAAGGGTTTGAATTTTCAAGTGTGAACACTTTTAACAAGTTGTTACTTTTAAGCCATAATGTCTGCCTGTCTGTCTGCCTGTCTGTTTGTGGGGGTGGGGTGGGAGTGAGTTAGTGTTCAAATTTTGTTACACACATTTCACAAATTTGTAATGCAGTGATTTTGTTATTTCCTTATAAATTAGCTTCCGGCGACAATAAAAAGTATCTAATATTTATCTAATTAGATATTAATTTACACATAAAAAAAACTGATATATATTTAAAGTCAAGATCGTAAGTTACTGGTTGGAGTTTAAAAGCAAATAGTCTAGTCGTGTGCTGTGATGACTTAATTATGAATGAAGATAATGAAAAGAATAAATATTGTACTAATTGTTTTTTAAACAGATAATATCGATCTACTATTTTACTTTATAAAGTAAATTAAAGTAACTAATTGCTAGAAATTAAAACAAGTACAAAAATATAATAGAAAGCTTTAAAATGCACGTAAAATAGAACAACCCTTCTTTCTTTTGCAAAATCTTTAATCACTCTTAAAATCACTGACAACTACTTGCGACAAACATTTTTACCAAAGAAAGAAGGTCAGTTTTCTTATTTTTTTTAATAGTTCATTTAAAAAGCTGGTTACTGTGGTTACTATAATTACTATAAATCTTTTTATGTGTGTTTTCGAAACGTTTATATCGAAACGTTTATAATTATGTTCATATCTGTAAACTTATAATACTCGGCTCATGTATGATAAAATGTGTGATAACTAGTTTGTATAAAACATAATAACTTGTATAATTTGTACGTCTTATTATAATTTACATGCATGTGTTATAATAATTTCCTTGTATAAATTCATGTTAAGGTACTTTTCGCCGTATGAAACATGCAAAATGGCATACATGAGGTTTACGTTGTGTAAAACTCTTGTAGGCATCATGTAAATAAATTAATAGCTGGGCTTTGCTCCACATAAAGATAAAAGTAAGGGTCGGGGGGGGGGGCTAACTACTAGGGCTAGCAGAACATTATTAAATGCTACTCACTAACTGAGCATTTGCGTCGCTTGCAACGGTTATGTGGGCTTTAATTGGTAGAGGCAAACTGGTAGAGGTTGTCTTGGGTTCAGGGGGTATCGTCCAGCCATATTCCTATGTGATAAAAAAGAAACTATTGATCATGATGCCTACCTGTACAAGTTGGATCAAAACACAACTCGGATATATTTTAGTAACTACAGCTCATCTGGTAAACAAAACGATAAAATAAACTAAACGTTTTGTGAAAGCCAATTGAAACTTCTACACAAATCTCTCCAAAATAAACCATTGCAGTGTGTATATTGTTTGCAATAAAATGAACTGTGTTGTTATACCAAAAAACTACTGGTATTTGTTATTTATCTTAAGACGTCGCTTGACCCTTCTCGGAGGCGTAGCGAGGGGGGGGGGGGGGGGGCGAGGGGAGGGACATATGTCTCCGGGCGCCGACCTTAGGGGACGCCAAAATGGGTAGGAAAAACAAATTGAAAGTTTGAGAGGGGTGCAAATCGAAAGTTTGAGGGAAGGGGTGCAAATCAAAAGTTTGTCCCGGGCGCCGGGAAGGGTCGCTGCCCTTCTGTCAATTTTTCCTCTCAACGAAAGTTGTATGTCCACATTTCGGCTTTCATCCACTTGGTAACTCTGAAAATTGTGTCTTAAGGTCAACTGTTTACCCATTTATTAAACAGCGTAGGACTAGCTAATGCAATAAAAAAACACATTTAGGATTTAGAATAGAGAGCGTAGGACTATCTGATGATTTAAAAAAAAAACAGTATTTACGTTAAAATTTGATAGAATCGACAGAACCAGGTACAGTATACAAATAAAAAATGTGATAGGATAGACAGCTTGGGTCAGAGAACAGATGTGTCCCAATAGCCCCTTCAGATATTTATTTAGTCAAATATGATATCGTAACTGATATTTGTTGTTAAATAATAGCCACATAGGCACAGCTAGGGCGTTTGTCCTCGACCCCCCCCCCTTTTTTTTCCCACCCCTTCTTCACCCCAACGTACAAATTGTATTAAACATTGCTATGGGAGTTGTCAGAAAGTATTCAAGATTTAGACAAACGATGCCCAAAGAAACCAACCCGGACTTTAGCGGTGTAGCTGTTTGCATTTGATGATATTTTGTAAGCAGGATGGTAGAGACATTTGTTTAGCTTTTATTGCTGCTTGTTGATAAGGCGCAAATATTATTTTATTCAGCACAATCATGTGATCGATAATGTTTATATTCCAGATAATAAAAAATGTCTTATAAATCACAATAAAAGCTACAGTCTTATTGCTAAATCATAAAATCGACTGGCTTATCCTAGCTGGGAGACAACTCGCATGTCCACACTCGTCACTGAGGATTAGCTCCCTTAATATTACTAAAGTCTTTTCTAAGCAGGAATGTTATTATGACGACGTGCAAAACCAGTATGTTCCACATGTGTAGAGTAATGACATATAGATCTATATGTGATTCAAGACGTGGCCTTTGGCTAAACAGCTTACTTATCAATAACGTATGTCACATTTTGAGCTTTCAAAACAAGAAATTTGACCCCAATGTTCACCCTTAACACACCAACAAAACAAGAAATTCTACCCCACTGTTCACCCTTAACACACCGATCTAACAATACACCTCTTCACACCCTACATTTAGCTTGACTGGTTGTATAATTAAATTAATGTCAGCGGGTTGGTGGTGTCGCTCAAGCCAACGTCACGGTATCGCGTGGTTGAATGGTAGAGCGTTCGTCTGTTAACCCGAAAGTCTCGAGTTCGAGGGACCAGTCCAGAGTGGTAGTACGTCCCTGAGTCCATCCAACCCTTGATGGGTACATGACCTACGTTAGGGAAAGTAAAGGCGGCTATCCCTTCATCTAGGATAGTTCACAGTACAGGGCAACTCTACTTCCACCCCGCGAGCCGCCAGGTCCTAAAGGGTACTTTAGCGAATGTCAATAATAAAGGCATTTCGATTTAGAAGATATCATTAAAGTAACAGCTCCAAGAAACCGCAGTCTTACAAGTAATGTCACAACAGACAGCTAAAGACTTCCAGTTATAAATAGGATATAGAATCTATACTGGGAAGGTAAATCTCCTTGCCCTAATCAAGATACAACATGTCTTATATTGTACATTAAAATATCAAAAACAGAAGAAAGTATATAAAATTTTGAACTTTGCAATAGATTTCTTTAAAAATTCCAATCATTGTGACGCTCTACTGTTCTCAGACAAACACGTACCCCATTGTGACACTACACTCGCAGAGAAACTTGTGCCCCCCCCCCCCCCCCCCCCGGACGTCTGTATCTGATCTAAGTTTCATAATGTACAGGCTTTGTTACAAAACAATGGGGTAATTATTGTCTTAATTGGAATGTCAGTCCAAAACAAAAAAACTTGGCCAACGTTTTCAAGACCAAAAGATTTCCCTGAAATAATTGATTCGCATTTTGATTGCTTAAAATATCGTCTCCCCCTCAATTACATATATATATATATATATATATATATATATATAATGTTTGACATCTCAATGTTTTGATTGGTATAACAAATACATTTCTTTTCTACTAGGCTGATTATTATTTACAAACAGTTTACATGCTTATTAGATCAATTATAATTCGAAATTATTATTTTCTTCGTCTTAAATAGTGACATGAGTTACTAGTAAGCAAATCTCTTATTTGCTACGTAAAAAACCACGATCACTACTGTCGTTATATAGGCTCACGATAGCAGGCGCAGTTAATATAATTGTGAAGTTATCAATTTTTAGACTTTACTCTAGAAAAATTAAAATAATATTTTCCACATAAAGTAAAATAAATAAATAAAAAGGCCGGTAACCACTGCATTAGCTCAACGGAAAATCGTTGTAGAATTAAATCCCTTTTAGTGTTAAATTCAAAATAGCGTACACTTATCTAGGCCTATGTAAAACCGTAAAAGTGAAACATAAAATAATTATTTTTGTTTACTGTTGAAAGTGATGAAATTAAGAAAAATTAGCGTTTGATATCCTTGAGTTGTTTTGATGGCGTAAATAGATCCCCCCCCCCAAAAGTTTCTTTCCGATTTTTTTTCAATGCGATGGGGGGGGGGGGGGGCACTTAAAATGTTCTGGGGGTGAATACAAATTTTCAGAGGGGGGGGGGGGGCGGACACTGGTAAAAGTATATATTTTCTAGATAAATTCTATTTCTTTCGGGAGATTGGGGGGGGGGGGGGGCGGTAGACGTGCTTCCGGAGGGGGTGGGTAGTTAGCCCCCCCACCCCCTCCCCCGATGAGATGCCTGAAAGAAACTCTGCCGCCCCCCCCCCCCACCCTCATATAGCGAGCACCATCCCCAAAATGATTTGGGGGTCATCCATAAATGACGTCACACTCGTAGGGGGAGGGGGGTCCGTAATTTTGTGACGATGTGTGATGAGAGGGAGGGGGGGTCAGATGTTGCGACGTCACATTTTTGCATTATAAAAAAGCAATGTTAGAAAACGAATTTTAGACGTTATTTCGCGTTTTAGATAACTGTTTTAATAAATTGTAATAGATAGACAAGATTTTGGAAAAATATCGATGTTTTTAAAAAATTCAACTGCAATTTTGAGGGGGGGGGGTTGTAGGTTGAGGTGTGACGTCATTTTAGGGGGGGGTCTGGCTTTTTGTGACGACGTGTGACGGAGGGGAGGGGGGAGGTAAAAATCGTCAAAAAAAGCGTGACGTAATTTATGGATGACCCCTTATACAACCCCTAGTAAAATAACAATAATCATCGTGTTAAATTGGCATGCTTTAATAGCCTTTTAGTCCTTAAAATACATAGACTACTACGTCTCATGGCTTAGGCTGCCACTCACTTTCACACATAACACGTCGTCTGACTCCCCCCCCCCCCCCCCCCACACCTTACGGTAGATGTGTGACGGTAATGGACAATCCTTCCCCATCCCCTCTCCAAAGGCTTCAGGAATCTATTATTGAAACTTCCGGTAGAGGCGCACTTCAATCATATTTCTTTATACTTATATTTCCGATGGGGTGGGGGGGGCTGACATTGGACTGGTTGAAGCAGTGGCGTAGCGAGGTCGGGTGTCACCCGGTGCGGCACTTAATGGTGTCACCCCCCCCCCCCCCCCAGAGGCGTTGCGACCCTTACCGGGGACAAACTTTCAAGTTTTCGATTTGCACCCCCCTCAAACTTTCGATTTGCACCACCCCCTCAAGTTTTTCTCTCTATATTTTGCCATTTTTTGCCTTGGTGTCACCCCCCTAAATGGTGTCACCCGGTGCGGTCCGCACCCCCCGCCCCCCCCCCCCCCTCGCTACGCCCCTGTGTTGAAGTATACATTTTCTTTAGGCCTTTAGATTTAAACTTTGTTCGATGGGGTCGTGCTACTGGAGGGGTGGCACTAACCCGGAGAAATGTCTGAAAGAACCCCCCCCCCCCCCCCTTTGTAAAATTAAGAAAATATGCCAAATTTTAAAAAAAATGATTCTATTTAATTAAAACTACTAAGCCCTTTTTACTGATCGTAGGATCATGATAAAATTTAGAAATATAAATTATTGTAAATAATTATAGTCTAGTAACTGTAGATCTAGAGTCTAGACTCAGGCTCTAGAAAATCAAGTTCTAGCAGGCTAAAAAACTTAGCCAAGCCTAGAAGTTTTGAAATTATATTTAATGGCTTTAAAAAACATTCAGTCATTCAGATGTTTCTCATTTTATTTCTCAATTTCACCACAGTAAGGTTGTAATTGTTATTTTTAAAAAGTATTTCAAATATTATTGAATAATGTAGCTTCTTTTTAGCCGGATAAAAAAAAATAATCTTGAATTGTAGTAATTTGTACCGAGACAGTTCGGCAGTTTTTATCTTCTGCTGAATTGATTGTGTACACTAATTTTGCTGCTCAACAAAATGGCGGCTGTGTTGATGCAGCAAGCGATCAGTTTGAAACGAACTAATCAAGATAATGCCACGGAAATTCTCTCAACAATTGGTAATATTTATTTAGATACTGTATTCAATAATATAAGATTATAGGTATCGATAGATAATGAGTGTTTAAGATCTTATTCTTGTCTTTTTTTCACACGTGACAAGATTCTTTGCGGCTTATCGACTTCAAGAAAAAGAAAGCAAAGGGAAAGAATTTGGTTCGATTACGCTGCGTCATTTCTGTCGTTTAGAAAAACATATTTATTTTACTTTAATGTTGTTTTTTTTTAAATCGTTCAGTCACGCCAGCTCGTAAAATGACATAGTGTCATTGAATTTTTACTTGATTTGTAAATTATTACTGGTTTGCCAGAAGAGCAACATTAATTGAACATTTTTCATTTTAGTCTTTAGTATTTTACTTAAGAAATTTAAGATAAGGCCTAGGCTAATTTTTTTTTAAATAGGCCCTAAAAATGCATGGCCCTCAATTCCTAAATTAAAAAATTCTAAATCTCCTCATTTTAAATTTTATTTTGATTAGATCTATTTGATACTTCAAATTCATTAACTTTAACTAGATCTGTAACTTTACCTAGCCTATTAAAAATTTGGGGAGAGTTTTTATACCGGTGTCCGATAATGGAATCTTCTTTAAAAAAGGGTTGTTAGGTTACTGGTAGTTAACTAAACTACACACATGGCTGGCTAAATAATGTCAATGCTAACCCTGTCCCTAACCCCAAACCTGATCCTACCATACGCTTAACAAACCTAATTTCGGTTAATTGCTTATACCAGTCTCCGGGATTTGACTACATCCGGCATCGGCCAATGAAATACGCGCTTTCTAAGCGTTTTGGTAAGGCGTGACGTCATCAGCGCGGTGTGTCAAAACTGCGGTTTTGAAGCCTAAATTTAATTTATAGTTCAAATCGCAACGCGTTTTTTCAAAATGAGGGAAAAATGACCCTTTTTAAAAATGGAGATAGTCGTTTTTTTCAATGATGACGCCACAAAATCTCAAAATATTGCCGTCCGAAAAAGCAATCATTGTTAAATATTTGCCTTTTCGTGCATTAATATTTTGTCAAGTCTACCAAAACGCTTATAAAGTGCGTGTTTCATCGGCCGATGCCGAAAGTATGTAAATAATACAAAGAAAACAGACAATAAATTTATTTTGATCATATTTTATTGCGTATTGTAGTAAAGCAAGCAAACAAAGTTGTCAACAGCACACCGCAGAGAGTTGCGCGGCACGTGTTCCAAATTAGGTCAAAGCACGGATCTAGGCTAGCCCGCGCAGCTAAATGCCAAAATATAATTTCTTAACGTAAAGTACGGTAAAGCGACAAAGCAACGTTAACTTTATAGACACGGGTGTTAAATGGCTGTCCCTGCAGGGTTTTAAATTTGCATTATCTAGAACGTGGGGATATTGGTAGATCTGTTATTTATTTTCAACTGTAACCGATCGATGGCTAAGTGGTCAAGGCGGGAAAATGAGGTCACGTGATGTCTCAAAAGTTTAGATGGACACCCGACATCTAAATCTAGTATTTCGATGAAAAGCGGCTTAGCGGCTGAATTTATTGATTAAACGCTTTGATGGAGGTATAGATAATAGATAATTAATAAAAAGAAAAAAAATATCCTACTTACAAAATACGACATCATATCCATGCAGAAAAAATTATTCCAACGCCATTTATGAATATTAATTAGATCTGCAATTTTATCACCACATGACCCTCGAAGGCTCAGACGTGTAGGTCTAGGGCTCTAGGTGTAACACACATTCGGCCCGGGATGTTAATAGTAATAATATATTTTATTGGTTTGGGGCCTATGCCTAATTAGTTGGCCCTGACATAAGGATAACCTATTTAAAATATTATTTGTAAATGAAAGTGGGTAAGGGTTAAAAAATGGGAACACATTTTGTTTTATGTATGGCTATACGTTTAACAAGAAACATGTTTGAAAAGGAGGGCATTTATTTTTAAAATTTGATGAGTGCTGTGTGTTTTTTATTCTCACCTACTTAAAGTGACGTAAGCAAATTTGCATATGGCCTTGACCTTGTACTGCTTTGTAAAGATTCTCAAGCACCAAAAAAGGCCTGATTTATGTTATTAATACGAAAAAAGAAAATACATGGACATATTTATAACCACGATTATCTACGCGGTCAAACGATTTTTGTTACATTTTATTGGGATTGGAATTTAATAATCAATATACACGCAGTGGTCATGGAAAGTTTAAAAGATGTCACTTTTTTGACGAAGTTTACCTCCTCCTCCCCACAGTTTACAATAAAAATAGCGACCCCCCCACCCCCCGTCTCTGAAATGTGACGATGTTTATGGACGATTCCTATGTCCCACGTAGAAGGGGGGGGGGGGGGGAATTAGTAAAATATATGTATGTTCTATAAAGTATTATAGATCGTTGTCTATTATGTTCGGGTCGGGGAGGGGTGGTAGGCTGTTTAAAAAATAATACTGTTTACAAATATCTCAGACCTGGCCACGCTTGGTGTGGGGGGGGGGGTGTATCCAACCCCCCCCCCCCCACAAAGTACAGAATAAAAATTACCCCTCCCCCCCCCCCCCACAAAGTACAGAATAAAAATTAAATGTTGACCATTGTAAATAATCACTGGATTAACATAATTAATTAATTTGGTCATGATAATATTTAAGTTTAAGAAGTCTTTTCAAGACAAAAAAAAACTTTAAAAAAAAACACACCTTATAATATAAACGAACCCACAAGTGCATTAACGAAGTAATTAGCATAATTAACATATTGTAATTAAGCTAATTAATTAATTAGCACTAATGATAATGAAGGGAGATAGTTTTTTTTTGTTATGGCACCTCTCCAAATCTTATTATTTTCATAATCACTATGCAAAAAGTATTTATGTTACAAAAACTACACATCTCTGTTCTCTCGGTGCCTAGCGCGACCTATTTAGGCCAAAGTGAGTTTGTTTATGTTGACGTTTTATTTTTAGACTTCACGGTACAACGCAGATCATTGGCCGGAAGAACATATTGTCAGACACTGGTATAAGTAATCATCGCTAATTTCTAACCATACAATTAGTCTTGTTTACAAAACCACTAACAACCCAACACTTCTATTTTATGGAAGAAGTCTATTATTGGACACCCGTATCTATAATCATCCAATTTGTTTTATTACTTTTTTCTAGACTAGTGGCTAGTTTCCTACTAGAAATCTGCTAGAATCTTGAATCTATGTCTACCTACTAGATCTAACTAGGCCAAATATGTCCCAATTACAAAATGTCTATGACTGTTCAGTCGTCAATCATCTTATGCTAGGTAGGCCTAATGCTGTTTATCTGAAAACGTCAGTTAAATAAAAAAACTTAGGTCTAGGCCTATGATTTTTTTATCAAGGAAGATAGAACAGACCTCATGAATAAATTCACCTAAATAAAAATAGGCCTACAAATAAATGCTTGATTAAGATGGGTCCAATGGGAATTGGACAAAATGAATGCCTATTTGTCTTCGCACTCAATTGTCTTGCAGTTTAAGACAAGCCAACTAACTATTGGCCATACTGGAGAAAGTGATAGCTCACTCAAAAGCAGTAATAATTATGCATGTTAGAATGACAATGTATTTATAGTAGACAAAAGTATGTATATTTTTATAGCCTTCTGTCTTTTATGTATATGATCAATGGCAGCGCCACAACCTACTGATAGGCTTGTATTATAGGCTGTTCTGATTCTAAGTACTATTTATAACTCTTTCAACAAGAAACCCTGATTTGTCTATCTAACTAAACAAATGTTGGTTTTTCTTATAGTAAAGCAAGATGTACCTCAAGCTGATGATGAAGCCATTAAGGTTAAGGAACAAGCTATTCTTGAAATGGGAAAGCTGTATGCTGATCAAAATAATGCAAATGGTTTGTTAAATTTATTTTATTTTAAATTTTGTTATATCTTGCAAGTTATTAAAAAGCAATTATTGCTTGTGCCAAGATTTGTTAATGTGTAAAAAATACATTTTTATTTCAGAACTAGCTAATCTAATAAAATGTGTTCGGCCATTTCTGAATTTGGTTAGTAAAGCAAAGGCAGCCAAACTAGTCCGTGCCCTTGTTGATCTCTTTCTTGATATGGAAGCAGCAACTGGAAGTGAGGTATACTATCAATTTTTTTTTACTTTACACACAGTAGAGACTAGTTTAATCTATCATTAAAGGAAAAAGAAACGGAAAGTTATTTTGCAATGTATTATTACATCTACCTGAATATTACTAATAAATTCATACTGCCATTTGCTAGAGATGATGAAAATAATTATCTTGTTTCCGTTTAAATTTTAATGACTACCAATCAGTCATATAAATTTTAGCATGATAATATATATTTATATAAATATTTATTGGTGTAAAAGAGTAAGAAACATTCATTGAAACATATTTAAAAATTTTATGTGCAATGTAATTACTTAAGGTTGAGCTTTGTAAAGAATGTATACAATGGGCAAAGGATGAAAGAAGGACATTTCTTCGTCAGGCTTTGGAGGTAAATTTTCTGAACCTTAAACACATTAATTTAAATTTTGTTTTTCATTTAGTAATTTTTAATCCTTATAGACACCTGTAGTGTTGATCGATTTGTCACTTCATGATAGATGCAACCACACTACTGATTTAATTTTTACTCTTTCATTATTATTAATTATTTTTCTATTTCACAGTTAAAAATAAATGTAAACACTTTCTACTGCCCTAAATGCTATTTGCTTTTTAAATTATGTAATTATAAGAATAGAGGGAAATGCCAATCTTATATGCCTTTTTCAACAACTATCATATAGAAGAAAATAATGTATTATGACTGAAAATTTAGCAAAATGGTCCTTCTGTTATTTTATACATTTTATTTTTTTTTTTACATTTTGTTTGGCATTTTGAGAAATGTGTAATTTTACTCCTGGTGGTCAGGGGAAATAGTGATAGCTTCTTAAGCGTTAATATCAGTTGTTACTTTTCTTCTGAGATCATGTACAGTTAAAAATTATACTCTTAACTTTTTGTTCTTAACACATATTTTAACTTGAACGTATATAATTTCAGGCTCGTCTGATATCTTTATATTTCGACACGAAAAAATATCCAGAGGCTTTACAATTAGGTAAGTTTTGTTGGATTTAATTTTTCTGTTTTAATTATTTCATTGTGTTTTCAGCTTTTATTCTCATTTTTAGAAGTGATTTTTATCAGGACATTTTGGAAACATGATTAGTCTGCTCACAAATAATTTTAATACATGCTAATTTTATAGGTTCTACATTGTTGCGAGAACTTAAGAAGCTAGATGATAAGGCTTTACTGGTTGAAGTTCAGCTGTTGGAAAGTAAAGTATATCATGCACTAAGCAATCTTCCAAAAGCTAGGTAATTTGTTTTATACTTTTCTTTAAGTCATTTTGTTTATTTTGTTTCTTCTGTTAAATATATTTTACTGCGAACACTATGTATTTACATTTTTAATGCTTTTCTAAAAATAACCTTAAAAATGTATTCCTCATTAGGGCAGCACTGACATCAGGAAGAACCACTGCTAATGGTATTTACTGTCCGCCTAAACTACAAGCTGCTTTAGACCAGCAGTCAGGTTGGACTATGTTTTATTTGCCTATTTTTTTTATAGTATTAAGTCTTGTTTCATTGTTTTCTTTTCATGCACATTTATTTATGATTTTAGGATTTATAAATTTAATTTTACATTTTCTGAAATGTATTTTTAGGTATACTGCATGCTGCTGATGAGAGAGATTTTAAAACTGCCTACTCCTACTTTTATGAAGCATTTGAAGGCTATGACTCAATAGATAGTCCTAAGGCAGTTATTTCACTCAAGTACATGCTGTTGTGTAAAATAATGCTCAATGTGTAAGTACTTACATTTTTATATCAGTTTCACTTAACACAACTATTTCAAGACAAGTTTCAGGCTGCATAACTTGCTGTACTTAAATAAGTTAGTTTTACTGTGGTAGATTAATTTTTTTAAGGTACTGTAAGCATGCTTTAAACAATGTTAATCTCAGTTTTGATTGCCATACATTCTAGAAATTGAAATTCTATTTCATTTGAGGTCATTTTTTAATTAAGTACTTTCCTCTCTATATCAATTTTGACTTTTCATGATATAATTTTATAAAATGGCTTGCAGCGCTGATGAGGTCCAGGCAATCGTGAGTGGTAAACTTGCACTTAAATATGGTGGTCCTGATGTGGAAGCTATGAAAAGCATTGCCCAAGCAAGTCATAAAAGATCATTAGCAGATTTTCAGAAGGTAAAGATGAAATTCTTGTGTTAAAGTTGGTAAATATAACTAAAAGTAAGCATTAAATTAGATTGTGCTCATTTATAGCTGTTTAACTGTTTGATAAGGTAAATATTTTGTCAATTGTTTCTTTCAGACATTGGTTACTTATAAAACTCAGCTTGAAGATGATCCAATTGTGCAAGCACATCTCAAGACACTATATGATAACCTACTTGAGCAAAATTTGTGCCGTATCATTGAACCCTTCTCCAAAGTGCAAGTCCAGCATGTTGCTAACCTGATCAAGCTACCAGTGGTTAGTCTATTAAGTGATCCAAATTTGTTGTGTTTAAACAATAATTGCTCATTAACATACTTGGTTTTCCCATTTTATCCATATAAGTACTTCATTTCGTAATCTTTTTTTTAAATAACATTTACTTTATTTTAGACTACAGTGGAAAAGAAACTGTCACAAATGATTTTGGATAAGAAATTTCATGGTGAGTACTTAAAATCAGATAGACGTTACAAAAAAAGCAATTACAGAATGATATAACTTATACCTTATTTTAAATTACCAAGTTATTCCATGTAATTCTGAAAGTAGTGCTTGATAAACTTTGGTCATCTATGCAGTTTTATCAGATATGCATTCACAAATTTCCTGTGAATTCAATGTTTAACTATACAAAACTCTTGACAAATATAGTTGCTTTTAAGTACCAGCTATAGTTTTTCTTTTTTTTTAAGGCTTAAGAATTTATTGCAGGTTACTGATAATCTTTGAGCAATATAATTTAATATAAACAATTAGGAGACAGTTGAATCGGCTTGAAAAGCTGGTTCCAAATCATTTAAAAAAAATTTTGCCAGAAAGCATATTTTTCAACCAAAATTTTATAACATTTGTGTAAAAAGCGCAAAATGACTTCTGGTTTTACTAAGGCTAGAAATAGTCAAACAAATAATTACTAGTAATATAATAGTAATTTAGCTCACTCTTTTATTTTTAATTTTGATTAGTAACTTCAGGGTATTGTGATAATAGGGGATGTTATAGTACTTAATATAAATACAATATTACGCTATACACCATAGACCACTATTGTGTATTTTATCATGGGAAAAATCGCTCTGACTTTCATTGTTTTACCCTCCCATTCCGGTTGACTTCAAGGAGAGGTTGATGGCAGTTTTTTTTAAATATTTGAATATATAAAATTATTTAAAATGCTAATCACCGGCTTATATTCAATACTAAAATATGGAAATGGGTGTAATCTATGGTTCTCATACAGCTTTAAGTTTTTAAAATATAAGTATAATTTTATCTCTTGCCATACTTTTTTAAAAGATCTTTTTTTAAATTTAGTATGATTACATAGACTTTTCAAGTCTATAGTTTACTATTGTAAAGTCTTGTATAGTTCATTCTGATGAAAGTATGTTTTGTATCTTTTAGGAATACTAGATCAAGGTGCTGGAGTTCTCATAGTATTTGAAGAAGTCCATTCTGATAAGACTTATGCCAATGCTCTTGAAACAATACACAACATGGGTAAAGTGGTAGATGCTCTCTATCATAAGGCCAAAAAATTGACATAGTAACTTGTGTAGAAGCTCAGCAGTGGCTAAAATGGAACCTTGAGTAATTATTTTTTTTTAATTCCTGGCCAAGAAAATGGGAAGGGTCATTTCATATTCTAGGTAAAAAAATAAAAAATCAAGCTTGAAATTTAGGAGTACAGTTGATTGCCTATTTATGAAAACTTTTATTTGAGGTCCAGCTTTAGTAACTCTGTCTGCCCATGTAAATAACTGTTTATCTATAATATTGTGTTATTACCTGTATGACATTCAGTTGTCTTTTAATAAATAAATTGCTTTAAAAAGCAGATGTTTTTCTATTATGTTTTTTTATGCTATCCATCAGTGTCCAGGATTGATTAGAATTGAAAGTCAGATCCACTTAACTATGTGCACATATCTGCATTCACTTTTACAATAGATCTGTTCAGTTCTTTTTTTTTTTAAATTCTAAATTAAAGTAAGAAGTTACATAAATGCCATTGACAACTTGTGTTGGAACTATTAAATAATTGACATGATTTTATTCGACTTGTTCTTTTAATTTTAGACTTTTATTTGCAAATAAATTTTATACATTTTTTTTCTTAAACCAAACCTTTTATTTTTTCATATGTGCTGTTGAATAAATTTAACACAATTCTTCCTTTTCATTATGAAAAACAATTTTTAAAAGTTGTATTGTCAAATAAAAGGAAAGGGTTGAAAAGATCAGATCACTAGACTTGAATAAAAACATTGTGCTGGCAATAAACACATTAAAGAGAGAAAAGTACAAATTGGCTGAATATTGCCCAATGGACACAACTAATGACTCGCATAATTATATCTGCCACCGTATTTTGAAACATAAATTGATTTACTTTGATAATAATATACTTACTACACCTTAGCAAAAAATTTAAAGGGAAGGGTGAATTCCTCTAAATAAGCTCTTTTAAATGGCAGTCAGAATCCTCAGAAATGTAGTTATCAATGGAAACTTGAATATCTATTGTAACCAGTAATAAAAATTGATGAACATAAAGATTCCTCACATCAGTTACATGCCATATGTCAACAAAGCAAATTAACATGGGTTCTGACATGCATGCTTTTAGAATTACATTTTGGCCATGAAAGTTATTTACAGAATTTAAAGGAGCAGAAAATGATTGTTGTAAAATGTTGAAATTCATAGAAGAAGGCTTGAATGATACTTTTAAATTGATGGTAAAAGTCATCACTACATGTTTGTAGGTCTTCAAAATTTAATTCATTATTTTAGAGTAATTGGTTTTATATAATATTTCTTGTTATCATACTTAGCTGACTCAGCATATGTTTGATAATACATTTATGATCTCACTTTATTTATTTCCCTACTAATTCACATCTGATGTTGAAATTACAACCAATCTCTTCTCTCACAAATGTTAAATATTTTAAAAGTTGTTATTGTGGCTATGTTTTTACACACATTGACCACTTTGGTTTTATAACTTAGACATGACAACACAATCATCTTCCATTTATTTACTTTCAAAAGTGCTACTTTAATGCAGTCAACATACAGAGTTATTCAAAGTTCGTGTTTTAATGTCAGCAACTACAAGTTATTCCCCACATACAGCACAAAAACTAACCCCCTCCCCACCTTAAACTCAGCAGCACAGTAATATAATTTATAAAATAATACAGAATGTTCTATTGTGTAATCCTTGTTAACAAACATTGCAATTGTAGATTTTGATTTGTTGTCACCAATTTGGTTGGCTGTATGGTTTCAGTGTCATTGAGAACCTTCCAAGTAACTGGCTGTGATAATTGTTTTAATACATTTTTAAAATATTTCTTTATCAAGGAATCATTCAGATTTTTTTATTGGTAAGCAGTGATTAGCAATGCAACATTTTAACATACCCTGAAAATGACTAATGAATTTCATACAATTGAACTGGTATGTAGACATACCAATTTGGGAAGACAGCATGCTATAGCAGTCAAGTGTGATAATTTCAAAGCAGCGCCATTTGGTTTAAGCAGTGCTTTCAGTATGAGCCTTATTTGTGAATCAAGTCAAGTTCTTAAAATTAACAAGAAAAGTTGTTCCTCGATTATAGAATGAACACATCATTTACACTATAATTTTGATTTAATATTTGTTAAGTTTAAATAAACCTAAGTTCTTAGACTTAGAGTCATTGATAATTAAAATAATCAATTTTTTAATTAAATTTCAATGTAGCATTATAGTAATTGCGAATCCAAAAGTTTCTAGTTCGAATCAGGGTTCAAGTCAGTAGAACATCCCTGAGTCCACCCAGCTCTGATGTGCTCCTAGACGGCTTGGCTTAGTGCTGACCACACTATCTATTCATATGCAGAGGTCACATTGATAAACAGTTGAACTCTACTTCACTTTCCCCATGAACTGGTAGGTTCAAAAGGGAAATTCATTATATTAAAAAAGTTTATAATATCTTGTTAACCAGAAAAACATGACGGAATTTTGATCTTTTGCTTTTTAAATTTTAATGCTACAAAAATTTGCAACACAAATAAAAATTCCAATATAAAACATAACAAGCCTCTAACAAAGCAAGTGCTAATGCTTCCACCATTTTCTCTCTTTCACTCAAAAAACAGGCACTGTTTCTTTAAAAGCGTGAAAAAAAGTTTTTAACATTTAACGGAAAGCAACGTTAAAGCAGTCAAGATACTGTTCAAAATAAAGGTTCATGGGCCATAAATGTTGCATGTTCACATTTAAATAGCAGGTAATCTTTCAAAGCCAAAGGAATGGGTAAGGTTGTTATATTTTTTGCAAGATTAAGGCCAATACTCCGCCTTATTACATTTCGGCAAGCGTGTTTTAGAGGAATAACAGCTTTCATGGTCTCTAAGAGCACAAGCAGTGTTTGTCTGTTGGTGTCTGTTAGGTCTGTCCTCTCAAGGCTGGCCTGTAGAATGGTGCGAGCTGATTGGTCAGTAGATCCAAGGGCAGCTAGCATCTGGCAAGTTTTGTAGCAGTGTTGCTCAGCAGCCATTAAGAAAAGGGTCCTCTCCTGTCCCCCTTGTTCCTTCAATACATGGGAGTATTTTTGCATGTCCCAGTCATAATTGGCAAGCATGTTGAGTGTATGTGCAGGTGACAACAGTATATACTTGAGCAGCAGCTCCACCACTTTGCAGTATTTTTTTCTGATGGCGATATGTAACGCAGTGTCACCAGACTTGCTGTCCCGCTTGTTGATATCACAGCCTGCAGCAAGCAGGCGTTCAACCACGTTCCTGTTGTTGTAGCACACCGCTTCCATCAGTGGACTGCGCCCCCACAAATTTTGGACATCAATCAAACTGCCCGATGCCAAGAGAGCATCAACAGTTTCAACATTACCATTTCGAGCTGCGAAATGTAACGCAACCTCGTTGTTGCTGTCCGCAATGTTGAGGTCAGCGTTTGCTCTAATCAGTCGAAGAGTTGATTCTGTTTTACTGTTTCTGACAGCTTTCATTAAAGGTGTTTTAGCAGTGATGTCCTGACTGTTGACCTGAGTTCCAATCCTTATCATCATATCCAACATACCATGCAGGCCCAGCTCCGCTGCATAGTGACAAGGGGAATTCCCAAAGACGTCTCGCAAGTCCAGCTTAGCCCTGGCTGTGATGAGAAGTTGCAGACAACTCATGTTGTTGTTCAGGACGGCCATGTGAACTGGTGTCCTGCGGAGCCTCTTGCCCATCTTGTTGACATCGCAGCCAGACTCTATGAGGAACTTGAGCATGGGGGCATGTCCACAGCTGGAGACCAGTAGCATTGGGTTGATGAACTCGTGCTTCTTCTGGCGAACAACCAGGAAACAGTCATTGAGGTCCCGCTTGGTGTGCTGGGCTAGGTAGCGAACCTGGGACATATCATTGTTTAAAAACGCATCGTAAAAGGCAAGGTCCGTTTGCTCCTCACAGCTCAGTGGGCTGTGCCTTTCCCCTGGCTCCTGGTACAGGCGATACATGGCCACAAGGGAAGCTGAAATATAAAGAAGACATTATTACAGGCGATACATGGCCACTAGGGAAGCTGAAATATAAAGAAGACATTATTATAGGTGATACATGGCCACTAGGGAAGCTGAAATATAAAGAAGACATTATTACAGGCGATACATGGCCACTAGGGAAGCTGAAATATAAAGAAGACATTATTATAGGTGATACATGGCCACTAGGGAAGCTGAAATATAAAGAAGACATTATTACAGGCGAAACATGGCCACTAGGGAAGCTGAAATTTAAAGAAGACATTATTACAGGCGATACATGGCCACTAGGGAAGCTGAAATATAAAGAAGACATTATTACAGGCGATACATTGCCACAAGGGAAAGATAGATAAATTGTTATAGGCAAAACATAGTTACATTAAAATATAAATAAGACATTATTTGAATCAGGTATTTTTAAAATATGCCCTCCCCTATTTATAAGAGCATTAACTATGAGACATGATTACAAAATATGCAACATATAGATAGAATTGGTAGATTTTTCCCAATTACTGTATCAGTGTTGATTTTGTTGTCTCCCCTTATGCAGGTATTTTAGGTCCCTATGTTCTGGTGATAATTTATATTTGCTGATAAATACTAAATAGGTCTACTAATAATTTGTTACTATGCCCTCTTATCTTTTATCAAGTCTCTATTTTTGTAAACTACAATACAAAAATTGTCTGAGACTTAGCAAATGTCTGGCTATTCCATTAGACTAATATCAAGCTGACAAAATTGTGACTGTAGGATTTGATACATATGAACATTCCACACTACACTTTTTTTTACCACTACCTGAGGATTACTCACTGTCTTTTTTAAGTTGTTAGGGGGGGGGGGATTTCTAAATATGCTAATCCTAACTAGTCCGACAATATGACATAATTAAATAAAAACAAATGATAAAATAGGCCTATACAATAGCTTTAGAATACAGGCTAGTATAATATAGATCCAGATTACTCCATCTACTCCATTTTCTACTACGTTTCTAATTCGGCTTTCAATGATCATCATTGTTACATAGTAGGTCTACGATGAGCATCCACTCACTAACCAGCTATGGCTGGCCAGAGTTGAGATAAAATAATAAAACAGAATATCTACTGGCTTGTATACGGTGTTAGCCGCCTCGACACAAAACAAGAAACTAAATGTTAAATCTACCCACCAGTTGGTGTCAGTGGTCGACAGCAACACACATCCTTATTTGACAGCAACGGTCACTTGAGCAGACTAGCAGAGTTGTGGTAGAGCCGTCCAACATTACAAACGTCAACTGGAAGATCCGAAAACAAGCCGCTACTGGTGGCCAGGTCTTAGGGAATGGAGAGTCTTAACATAATATATGTGGACTAGTTGATTCCTAATGAGGCAAGCAGAAAAATATCAGTGGCTAGCTGAAATAGAAGGTCAATACTGGCATAACAGGAGTGGAAGGAGGCGAGTTGTGCACCCAGATGTGTGGGTGGTGGGGTCTGTGTGGGTGGTGGGGATCAGGTCTGTGTTGCAGCGGTCCGGCTCGCACGCGCGCTCTGTAATCATGACCAGAAGAAATCCGCGGTGGCGTCACAGACAGGTCAAAGTGAAGATTTCAACACATGACCTCTATGTTCTGGGTAGTGACAGTCAGTGTCTTGCTTGACACACTATGGCCGTTTCCTCTAGTCAGATACAGGCCCAAACATGTGTATTGCTCCGGGCTCTAGTCAGATTGCTCTGGGCTCTAGTCAGATACAGGCCCATACATATGTATTGCTCCGGGCTCTGGTCAGATACAGGCCCAAACATGTGTATTGCTCCGGGCTCTGGTCAGATACAGGCCCAAACATGTGTATTGCTCCGGGCTCTAATCAGATACAGGCCCATACACGTGTATTGCTCTGGGCTCTAGTCAGATACAGGCCCAAACATGTGTATTGCTCCGGGCTCTAATCAGATACAGGCCCATACACGTGTATTGCTCTATGCTCTAGTCAGATACAGGCCCTTACATGTGTATTGCTCTATGCTCTAGTCAGATACAGGCCCATACACGTGTATTGCTCTATGCTCTAGTCAGATACAGGCCCTTACATGTGTATTGCTCTATGCTCTAGTCAGATACAGGCCCTTACATGTGTATTGCTCTGGGCTCTAGTCAGATACAGGCCCTTACATGTGTATTGCTCTGGGCTCTAGTCAGATACAGGCCCTTACATGTGTATTGCTCTGGGCTCTAGTCAGATACAGGCCCTTACATGTGTATTGCTCTATGCTCTAGTCAGATACAGGCCCTTACATGTGTATTGCTCTGGGCTCTAGTCAGATACAGGCCCATACATGTGTATTGCTCTATGCTCTAGTCAGATACAGGCCCATACATGTGTATTATACTATTGCTCTGGGCTCTAGTAAGATACAGTCCCATAGTTGTGTATTGCTCCGGGCTCTAGTCAGATACAGGCCCATACATGTGTATTGCTCTGGTCTCACTGGTACCATTTTACTTCTAGCGTTGAACTACATCTCTCATGACTTCATTGATTTTAGTCAGAGCAACAACTAGATTATATTAATACTATTTATAAATTATAGCTGAGTTGGCACTCATGCATGGTATCACTCTGGTATCGAAGCTTCTAGCATATTTATGATAATTAATAACTCGAGTAAGTCTAGACTGCCTAAAAGAGTAAGCCCGTTATTTTAAAGTCACTTTTTCTTCCTCTTCTGTGTTCTTAATTTTTATGTGTTACGGGATTTTCCTCCAAACAACTGTTACGTGTCAAATTGTTATGCACCGTATATGCTGTTGACTCCGATTACAGACTATTTTTCTTTTTGGATTCGTTTCCATATTCTTTGCCCATCCAAGAACAATTTGCAAGTCAGCAGTTGTTTGATTTTATAGTTTTCTCTCCTAGATGGGTTGCTGTCCACAGCTAACTAGAGTTTTCTTTCCTAGATGGGTTGCTGTCCCCAGCTATCGAGTTGTCTCTCCTAGATGGGTTGCTGTCCCCAGCTATTGATTTGTCTCTCCTAGATGGGTTGCTGTCCCCAGCTATTGATTTGTCTCTCCTAGATGGGTTGCTGTCCCCAGCTATTGATTTGTCTCTCCTAGATGGGTTGCTGTCCCCAGCTATTGATTTGTCTCTCCTAGATGGTTTGCTGTCCACAGCTATTGAGTTATCTCTCCTAGATGGGTTGTTGTCCCCAGCTATTGATTTGTCTCTCCTAGATGGGTTGCTGTCCCCAGCTATTGATTTGTCTCTCCTAGATGGGTTGCTGTCCCCAGCTATTGATTTGTCTCTCCTAGATGGTTTGCTGTCCACAGCTATTGAGTTATCTCTCCTAGATGGGTTGTTGTCCACAGCTATTGATTTGTCTCTCCTAGATGGGTTGTTGTCCACAGCTATTGAGCATCATCAACCTGAGGGTTCGAACTCGTGACTTTACGATTTAGCAGCCACGAGCTTTACCGACCCGTCCTTGACGACCCATCTTTTCGAGTTTATTTTTAGGCTCTTTGACCCCTAAGATGACAGTTCTCTTGTTAATTTACTGGCGTAGTGCGCCCGTGTTGCTTTCAATGTTTTGAATTTCAAAATAATGAGTATCACAAAACTACATATTTTCAAAAAACGTTACGGAATGCATTTCGGGACATCCCGAAATCCTGCCTACGCCACTGTTAGTGTGTGCCTAATAACCTTAAAATGAGTGACTTGGTTGTTTGCGGAAGATCCACGTGTTGTGGCAAATGTTTTATTGAAAACATCAATTACAATTAAATAGGACCAGAGTATAGAGATGTTTTAAGACTAATTATTTTCTCTTACATTATAAATATATCTATAGACCTACCACATTTGACTGCGTGAATTGTTTGTGTACCGTACTCGATGGGACTCAGTCTAAAACAGCTGAATGAGAAAGAAACAAAAACAGCTTGAAGGAACTCGCCACTACCAGGTTTTCACCAGCTCCTTTAGACAGAGATGACAAGGCTGCTTACGTCAGTAGTTTAAAATAATTTTCAATGCTGTTTTTTTTACTTTCTCGTATACAGAGTATACAGAAAGTATTGTAATCGTGCACAAAAATCACATGAAATTTTGACAGTTTTTAATCGGCCAAAAATTTTATGTCCAGATTTATCCAAAATTTTACGTTTTATGCTTAATCGAGTCTGAAAAACTGGGCTTTGCAATTCTGTCAGCGTGTGTGTCTGTGCATGTGTGTCTGTGAATACGATAACTTGAGTACCGTTACAGCTAGGTTGATGAAATTTCATATATAAGTATTATATCAATTTTGTAGTTCTGTATCAACTATTCAGCGATTTCCGATAATCGAAAGTGGAACTTATTCTACTTTCAATGTTTCAAAAGCCTATAACTTGTGTTATAATCTGTGTTTCAGCTCATCTGATTAAACTTTTACTTTATTTTAGATTAAGCTCTCGCTACCAAAAACATTACATTTTTGTGAAAGGCGGATCTTGTTATTTATGGGCGAGCCAACCCGCCACATCATGTAGCCTATAACCAACCTACGAAATAACACTACCAACCACATCATTTATAACTGTCAATGACATCAGATATAACTCTTCCAAATAGAACTTATATGAACACGAAAGATATAACAATGTCTACCACATTTGATTAGACAACATATTCTTAATCAGATATATCAATACCAGACATTTTTAAAACAGCCAAACCACAACATCTGTCAATCAAATCGAACATAACACTGCCAACAACACATAATATAACATGACACTGCCAACAACACATGATATAACATGACACTGCCAACAACACCTGATATAACATAACACTGCCAACAACACCTGATATAACATGACACTGCCAACAACACCTGATATAACATGACACTGCCAACAACACCTGATATAACATGACACTGCCAACCACATCACTTACATCATGACCAACTTACCACAGTATATCAACTCTGGTACCAACCACATCGTAACACTTAATGATAAGACTTTGTGCTCAGTTAATATCTTACCGATGTGCATACGTACCCTTATTTTAAGTGATGGGGAATTTCTACTCTCAAAAAAAAATATTCAAAATCAGAGCAAATCTATTTGTTATGTAAAATGTTAGAATATTTGTTGATCAAGTTGTTGATCAAGTTGTGAAAAAATATTTTATAACAGGACCGAATACTCAAAGTTTTCCGGTATGTGTAGCAATGAGTGATCTCCCTTATACAACAAAAAAAAAAAGCCATTTTCATGTGGATATCATATCCTGGCCTGTCTGGAGACAATAAGACAACTAACCTCAGAAACATGGCCCAACTTTAAACAAAAGACAGAAAATCGTCGTCATGTGTATACATAAAATGTTTCCCCACAGGACAGTTAATATTAAACGAAACAAGTAGAAATGAATAACAAAAATGTAGAGAGAAAAAATTTGTTTTGTATTTTTAGGCATTTTATATTGTTTACATTTTCTTTGTTAAATTGTAACATTTGTGTATGAGCAAAGACATCAATTACCCGACTCCGTCTAATTAAGAAGCAAAATCTTAACATGGTCAGTACCATCTGATCAAGTGTGACAAATAAGTTGTGACATGTTATGAAAACAATAACAAAATATGACATTTTAATAAACCTAGTACATATTATTGAATGAGATATAAATAATCTGCTGGTGAGATTGTGACAGTCACCCACAGAGAACGCAGTTTCTCTACCACTCAGAAACAGTAAGAATGGTTTATAAAAATCAAATTCATTTTTCAAATTACAAATATACGTTTATGTGTTTAAAAACAATTATTTATTATTGATGAGATTTGAAAACCTCTTTGTCAGCACTATTATTTCTAGTTGTGGTAAATGTCTATTGACTCTATTCAATGCATGAATAATTTTTACCTGCCTATCTAGTCTACTGTTGACTGTCTCAGTCTTTCTGTCAGTGACTACCTGTATTGGCTTGTCGTGTATGACATGGGTTGCCTGTTTAATCTGGTACTGTTTGACAAAGGTTAATATTTCGAAGTGTAGGGCCGTAGGCCCATATGGATAATACAAGACTTTCCCAGCATTGATTAATGAAAAATGTTGAGATTTATTAGATCTATACAATTTTTGAGTTATTTCGACTTCAAGTGGGCGTCAAATGCTTAGACTTCTGCTATTTTTTGGAATGATAAAATAATTACACCCATTTCACAACAACCACTTACAACTTACATAAGCTTAAAATAAAAATTCTAACGGTATGAATTGCTCAAATATGAAACAAAATAAACATGTTAACAAAAATAAAACCTAACATTTAAGTTACATAGATTTGTTTCCCTTGTATGCTAACTTTGCAAGGGCCACAATCTACTGTTTCAGCAAACTTAAAACCTTCTGAAAGATGGCGCTGTACACACTAGTTTTAAAAAGTGACTAAAGCTGAAGCTAAAAAAGTTTTGGAATGTCGTCGTCGATCTCGGACGGAAAATGTCTAGAATCTGTCACGTGCTAATCACGTGGTTGTCCCACCCTAGTGCTATTGAAACTTAACCAACTTTGTATTGTAAACGAGACTCGTCAAAAAGCAATACTGATAGAACTCTAGGTTATATTAACTTATATGCTACACCTAGAGTTAAGCTCATTCAATGCAGGTTAGTCCGATAAGCCTTTTTATGGCCACGTAAATGTGTTGATAAATTAACGTTAATATAACAATTCTAAAAATAATTATCCAGCACGTGCGCTATATAGTTGCCATTGGTTACTAGTAAACATCTCTGTGTTATGACCTGGGTCTATTTTTAGAGAGTCAAAGTAGGCATTCTAATTCTATGCATTTATGATTTACAAAAAAAAAAAAGATTAATTAATTTAAATTTTAACTCCACTTGATGGGATTTATAGGTAGGTCGTATGCCTTGAGTAGTCCGACTTTTTCTTATATTAAAAATCATATGTGTTTTTTCTTCTTAATAAGCTTTAGATTTATGTACAAACAAAATGAATGGAGACATGTAAGAATCTTCTGGATTTGGAATGGCTAAAGTGAGCTGTATGCAGGGGACACAACTCGTATATTGTCAAAACGAGAACCATCGATTAACACCAAGGGCGGGGCTCTACACACCGCCACCCTCCCCGCCTGTATCCTAGAGTCTAGCCCCCACCCAAGCTAACTGTAGACTGGGCTGAAACAGTGGCGTGAAGCTTTAACGAGAATCGGGTTTGGCGAATACAAATTTTGTTGATAGATAAGGCCAACCTACTTCCCACTCAACACGGTACGGTATCGATGCCAACGCCCTCTGACGTAGCGATGCTTTTAGAGAATCGATTTCACGGCACGGTAACAGCGAGTGTTATGCCAGCTCATGTATTCACAATGGAGGATGAGATTTTTTTTTAATCTGGTTTATTTTTGTTTGCATTTCCCTTACTCAGACGCTGATTCTAGAATAAAAGTTTGGCTAAATCAGAATTTGTTTAGTTAGGCAATAACTACCTCCAATTTTATTTAACTGCCTTAAAAACAATCTGATTATTTTAATTCTAACACTGTTCCCCCATCAACTGTTCCCAGTACTTAGTCGTGAAGGTGGGTGTAGGGCAAGAGGGGGATTATAAATCTTAAACATGACGTGTGTTAAGGCTTTGACCTTAATTACTAAATGTCATTACACCTTCACACCTGTCAATTTACAACAATTAGCCAGAAATACGTCACAACATTTAACCGATTTAATCCCCCTACACAGGTAAGTAGGTGGAAGTAAGGTGACGTCACATATGTGGGTGTAAGATTACATTACACAGGTGGCGTTCACGTGACGTCACACAGGTGGAGGTGTTACATCACACAGGTGGAGGAAACCTTTGAGCTAGTTTGATAAAACAATTTTAGCTTTCAGACACAGAGGTGTGTAGAAAAACATGAAACTTTTAGATATCAAATTAGGCAGGATGTATCTAACAGATGTTCACTTAACTTTGTATCGGAATGGTAACTTTGTTTAACTAGTATATTCGTAAAATAATTTTACTAAGTTTGTCTAAGCGATTCTGCACAAACTATATGATACGAAGGGGTGGGTAGTGGTTTCTGATATTGTCATATGGTATGGTATACAAGATTGTTATATATTTCTATGAGCTTGCTTTACTTTATTCTAATTTAGCAAACATTTTGCCATGTATAACTTATGATCTATCTTACATATATGTATGTGTGGATGGCAAACGTGTTGCTGGTCTGGATATATGTGTGGAATATATGTCAAGGGAATATATGTCAGGATGGTACATGGTTTGTGTTGGTCAGGATACTTTGGTTGTTCGGGTTGTCTTAACTGTCTCGCCTTTTTTAGTTGTATGTCATTGTCTGGGGTGTATGTCATTGTCTGAGGTGTATGTCATTGTCTGAGGTGTATGTCATTGTCTGAGGTGTATGTCATTGTCTTAGGTATATGTCATTGTCTGAGTGTATGTCATTGTCTGAGGTGTATGTCATTGTCTGAGTGTATGTCATTGTCTGAGATGTTTGTCATTGTCTGAGATGTTTGTCATTGTCTTAGGTATATGTCATTGTCTGAGGTGTATGTCATTGTCTGAGGTGTATGTCATCGACTTGTATGTCATTGTCTGAGCTGTATGTCATTATTATATGTCTGGATAGCTTGTTGGTATGTTTGGTTTTTATGTACTGATGTATGTGTATGCTTGTCCAACTTGTATGTCCTGATTACATACGTGGTATGTATGTGCTGTAGTTTATGAAGTATGTACGAGTATGTTTGTGTAGTATGTATGGGTAGTAAGTTTGTGTCATATGTATTTATGTAGTATGTCGTTGTGGTATGCTTGTGTAGTATGTCTGTGTGGTATGTTTGTGTAGTATGTATGTGTGATAGGTTAACGATGTGTTGGTATGAAAACTGTGAATAAAAGTGTTTTTTTTTAAAAATAACTGTTGAGAGCATGATATTTAAATTTTTAGACTAGTGAAACCCATTACAAATTAGAGGGAAATTCTAAAAGAAATATAGGAAAAAATTTAAGACTGACTGTTAAGTCGAGCATATCCATGTGATTACTGTAACCTAGCAGAAGTGGAAAGGGGACCAATCACTGAGCTGGATTAAACCTACTGTATTTGTGGGCGTCTAAGGAACATGTTCACTCTCGTGTTTACGTAACCAGGACTAGTGTGTTATACCACTCTAAAGCATTCGTAAAACTATCGGATTTTATGCCTTCGGTTAAGTCACGTCATTTACTATGACAATAGGGAATTCTAGTTGCCGATTTCTCGCAAAAAGGTCAACTATCAAAGAACCAATACTTAAATAAGTGAATGACATTTTAAATCATGGATGAGAAAAAAATGCGAACTGATGATAACACGGAGTGGGGTACAATATTTGGTGAAGATCATTAGCATACTACATGGTTAGAAGATGACTAGCATGTTAGGATTTTGCTTCATGAACAACAACTGACGGGGTGTCCTCTGTCTCCATGGGCACGTGACTCTCACGAGATATCCATGCGCGGAAATAACAAAGCCAACAACACCTTTACACCACGCTCTCGTTCTTGTGTTCCAGAACATCTTTCATCAGCACGTAGTCTTTGAGAGCGCGAGGCACGGGCAGGAGCTCCACCTTCTCCCACAGATTGTGTCCGGCGTGGCGGCGGATCACCTTCCGGCACAACTGCTGTAGCGGCACGACCCTCTTGAGGGCAGTCCTAAGCCACAGGAGTGCCTCGTCCTGCTCCCCTGGCCGGGCCTGGACGTAGCCAGCGTAGAAGTACATCCGGGCCGAGTAGTCCACGTATCCGATGGTGGCCAACAGGCGACACAGCTTATAGTGGCCTCTCTCGGCCGCTAGTTTGAAAACAGATTTATAGACGCCGTTGGGGAAATATTTAACGGGGACGTCGAGGTCAATGTTGTAGACAATAAGTAGCCAGGTGATGTCCATTTTGTTGCCGGCCACGGCGTCATGCACGGCCGTCTCGCCCTGGTGGTTGTACACGTCATGACGACTTCCGGCCGCCAGCAGAAGCTCCACGACACGCGTGTAGTTTCGTTTGATTGCGATGTGCAAGGCGGTGTCACCCGTTTTGAACTCCCTCCGATTGACGTCACAGCTAGCACTGAGGAGAAGCTGGACCACCTCCTTGTGGTTGTAGCAGACGGCCTCCATGAGAGGACTCCTGCCCCAGTAGTTCTGTACATTGATTAAACTGCCGGCGGAGAGTAAAATATCACTAATATCCACACACCCGTTTCTGGCCGCGTAGTGCAGGGCCATGTCACAGTTCCGGTCGGTGATGTTCAGGTCTGCACTGGCCCTCAATAAGCGAAGCACAGCGTCCGTTTTGTTGTTACGCACGGCCTTCATCAGCGGTGTTTTCGACGTGATGTCTTGGCTGTTGACGTTGACCCCACGACGTATGAGCACGTCTAGGATCTGGCAGTAGCCGTCGTCTGCCGCATAGTGACAAGGGGAATTCCCAAACGTGTCTTTGGCGTCCAGCTTGGCCCCGGCACCTATAAGGAGAAGCATGCAGGCCATCTTATGACTCTGGACGGCAAAATGCAAGGCGGTTCGTCTCAGCGTGCCAGTTGTGTGGTTGACGTCACATTTGGCTTCTATCAAGTACTGGAGCATGTAGGTGTGGCCCCGGTAGGAGGCCAGGTGTATGGGACAAAGGCCGGCGTCGTTCTTACGCCGAACCTCCAAGAACTTGCCGTTGAGATCGAGTTTGTGCTGGGCGACCAGACGCTTCAACTGCTGTAGGTCGTTGTTGAGCACAGCGTCATAGAACTCAAGGCCCGCCATTTGTGTACGTAACAACATGGAGACGGGTGATAGTTCCCCCTCGTCCGGGGCGCACACGCACTCACTGGTAATTTTGCTGCGCTCCGTGGCCAGGCTTGGATCGTTCCCCTCACCCGTGCCGCAGACCCCAGCAGATCACATTCGACACTTACGGTCTACACTAGTTGTAAACAAACATCCGCTAAATGCTGAATAGAAACTCCGGCGGCCATTACTGCAAGAAACATGGGGCAGGAAGAAAACACCAGCGTCCTCTACGGCCAGCATGATGACGTCTATGGTACACGGCTAACTAGGGCGAGAGCACGCGCGGGACCGCGCTAGTACAAGTAGGAATTTTTTATGCTAATGGCATGGAAGAGAGAGCGCGAGGAAGGTGGGTCACGTGCCGAGTCGATGGCGCGCCGCTCGATGCTCTCTGACGTAAGGAGACGCGTCTCAAATAAGAAGTCGTGTGAGTTCTATCTAGACGGTCGTTACTCTCTACACTGTGTCAACTCATGCCATAAACAGCCGTGCTATCGCGTCGCGCTGCAGCTTAGTATAGGTTACCATGACGCTGTGAGGTGTGTGTGTGTGTGGGGGGGGGGGGGGGATAAATGGAGAGGTGCCATGAAAACAGATCAATGACAGATACATATATAAGGGGCATATATATATAATATATATATATATATATATATATATATATATATATATATATATATATATATATATATATATATATATATATATATATATATGCGCCATATGTGGCCTAGACAGTTGCCGCCATAATAAGTCCATCTCGAGAATACGTACTATGGATGTTTTAGGTAAAGTGAGAAAGCCGACTATTATAGAGTTCCTAGGTATTCTATAGAACGCCAGGACTGGCGCTACCTATAGGGCGAACTAGGTGTCGCCTAGGGCGCTATCCCCAGGGGGACGCAAAAATGTGTACTCTCCATTAGTAAAAAGTACTAATAATTAATAACTTTGGTTATATTTTATAAACTTTAAACAGGATAATATACAAAGGCATGGCGATCTATTTCGATGCCCAGGACGAACTATCAAATTTGCGCCGCATCTGCAAATTAGGCCTATATATAAGTACTCGCTTTGGTGAAAATGCGCCCCAACCTCCCTCACTAGGAAAGGTCGGATGCTTTTTACCAGTCAATTTGACTTTTTATTTTGGTGTCACACAATTGATGTAGAAAACAATTAAATAAGTTCGTAATGCCAAGTAGCAGTCAACATTCTTTATTTCGGCTGTATATAATTGAGTAATGAGTTATATATTACTATCTACCGCGTTTGAAGCCATCTTTGGATCCGCGCCTGTGCAATTTTGATTTTCAAATAGTGCTAAGTCTCATTTCCTCTCACTTTTTATTAGAGATCTCGTTAGCCAGGGAGAGATTTAGATTTTCAAACTAAATTAATTGTTGGCACCACAAGATCCTAAACAGAATATTAAAGTAATATTTTTTAATACACACACACATATATATACAAATGTATATATATATATATATATATATATATATATATATATATATATATATATATATATATATATATATATATATATATATATATATATATGGTTCCATGACAAATGATCTCAGGACAAATGATCTCAGGACAAATGATCTCAAGGACAATTGATCTCACGGACAAAAGATACCAGGACAAAATATATCAGGACAAATGATACCATGGAAAATTGATCTCAGACAAAATATCTCACCGCAAAATTTTAATAGTATGTACGATGATTTTAGTTGACTTGAACTGTTTTTTTTATTGACTGTCAATATGGTTTTGTTTACTTTTCTACGCATAATAATTGTGAATAAAGTGAATTTGTTAAACTTAACAAAGCATCAAAAATGTATTAAACTTAATCTTTCTAATAGCATTTGATTTTTAAAAGTTAAAATTAAAACAAACTTACCCCTGAAAGGTATAATAAATGATAATGTATAAAAAAATAAATAAAGTAACGGTAGCTATGCAACATTAATGTTCAAAACACGTGAAATATTTTTCAAAAATGTGAATGGGTCTTTAGGTTCGTAACGTAAAACTATTTTTTATTGCATCATCAACACAAACGAAACGCTTATGTTTCTATGCCGGCAGGTACATTGTTATGATCACACCTTTCCAATTTTATGTTATCATGTATTGTGTGAACTCTTGCTCGACATGTTCTATCTTCACATTTCCAAATCTCTTTGCCTGCTGCTCTTCTTCTGGCTTTTATAAACATAAATCTCCAGAAACGAATGTCCTATACCCTTTCTGCGAGGTAACGAAAGAGGCCATAGCTGAGTAATCACCACTAATACTGCTTTGCTTGCATGTACACTACGACAAACTTGGCTCCGCGATGACCGCTGTTGTTTAAATCAGCATTTGTCACCTGATCACTAAGGTGTGACCGACGCATAACTATTGACTTTAGATGCTAGTTGCATTGTCCATGGAGGGCAGATATCTTTCCCTTAAGGCATGTCTTTGCCGTTAAAGCGGGCGGCCACCTTGATACGAAGGTGTGTCTGAGGTCACTGTAACCTACCACTCCTGAGGTCACTGTAACCTACCACTCCTGAGGTCACTGTAACCTACCACTCCTGAGGTCACTGTAACCTACCACTCCTGAGGTCACTGTAACCTACCACTCCTGAGGTCACTGTAGTCTACCACTCCTGAGGTCACTGTAACCTACCACTCCTGAGGTCACTGTAACCTACCACTCCTGAGGTCACTGTAACCTACCACTCCTGAGGTCAATGTAACCTACCACTCCTGAGGTCAATGTAACCTACCACTCCTGAGGTCACTGTAACCTACCACTCCTGAGGTCAATGTAACCTACCACTCCTGAGGTCACTGTAACCTACCACTCCTCAGGTCACTGTAACCTACCACTCCTATGCTTACTGTAATATTCCAGCAGTGAGTGTCAAGGAACCAAACGTTATTAAAATATGTAAATCAACACAACCCTAAGATATTTTCTTACATTTTAGAACTTTTTGTCTCATATGTTAATGATAACTGCCACACAAAGATTACCTTGTGAAAAAAAACTCCATGTTAACACAATCTCATTTAAAAATAAAATATTTATTTTGAAGTACAGAAGAAAGTTAATTTTTTTAAAGTGATTATTTGGAATGTTTATGATTCTGATTGTTGATAGATGGAGTCATTATAAAGTTGACTTTAAAAATAGATAAATCTGGTGACAGGTAATGCTAAAGCACAAGTTTAAGTGAATTCACATGTGTAGATGTTGCTTATCTTTTGATATCAAACTGGATGTAAACAAGGCACAGGGCAGATAACTCCAGCACCTAATGAGTCAAACTAAATGTTAACACACAAAAATTAGAACTCTCCTGTTTTGATGTTTTTCAAGTGACTAGCTTTCAACTTCTGGTATGTGTAATTTACAAGTAGGAAGATAACAATTTTTTACAAGAGAATTTGTTGTAGATTGAACCAGTCAATTAACGCAAAAAATTACATCAACAATGTTCAGTGAGAAATACATAAAAGAAATTAAATAAATCTCATAAAATGCATGAATACAGACTTGTTAGCATACAAGACTTGACATTTGATCATTAATTAGACTAAAATGATACATTAGTCTCTAAGGAGCACCGATGCTCAGTTTTTTATTTTGTTAACCTTCAGCTTTGAAATGCAAAACTTCCCCTCCAACAAGTCACACTAAAAAAATAAAAACATTTTAAAATAACTTAAACTAGAGTAATACACAGCCGTTAAGTAGTCAAGTGACACGTTGAGCTGTGGGAAGCTAGAGGTCTGGCTATAGCTGTGGGGGTCTATAGGTCTGGCTATAGCTGTGGGGGTGAGGTCTGGCTATAGCTGTGGGGGTGAGGTCTGGCTATAGCTGTGGGGGTCTAGTGGTCTGGCTATAGCTGTGGGGGTGAGCTCTGGATATAGCTGTGGGGAGCTAGAGGTCTGGCTATAGCTGTGGGGGTGAGGTCTGGCTATAGCTGTGGGGGTCTAGTGGTCTGGCTATAGCTGTGGGGGTGAGCTCTGGATATAGCTGTGGGGAGCTAGAGGTCTGGCTATAGCTGTGGGGGTGAGCTCTGGATATAGCTGTGGGGAGCTAGAGGTCTGGCTATAGCTGTGGGGGTGAGCTCTGGATATAGCTGTGGGGAGCTAGAGGTCTGGCTATAGCCATGGGGAGCTAGAGGTCTGGCTATAGCTGTGGGGAGCTAGAGGTCTGGCTATAGCTGTGGGGGTCTATAGGTCTGGCTATAGCTGTGGGGAACTAGAGGTCTGGCTATAGCTGTGTGGAGCTAGAGGTCTGGCTATAGCTGTGGGGAGCTAGAGGTCTGGTTATAGCTGTGGGGAGCTAGAGGTCTGGCTATAGCTGTGGGGAGCTAGAGGTCTGGCTATAGCTGTGGGGGTGAGGTCTGGCTATAGCTGTGGGGGGGGCGGGGGGCTAGAGGTCTGGCTATAGCTGTGGGGAGCTAGAGGTCTGGCTATAGCTGTGGGGAGCTAGCAGCTTTGCAGAAATGATGAATTAGTAATAACTAAAACAGCATTCCATAATTAATATCTCCTAGACAAGAAAAACTATACCCAAACAACAGGCCAAGAAAAACTATACCCAAACAACAGTTCCATATATTTTCTATAGAGTAAGGTCAGTTAATTGTCTATATGGTAAATGAAACCAGTTTATCCACTCTAGCTCTCCACAGCCCAATCAACATTTTAACACCAATCTGCATACATTAATTACTTATACATATTAATTCAAGGAAAAATAATTGTACATTATCAATACATTGGTTTTTAAATTTTAAAAAGCTCCAGAGCATAAGAAAATAGATGCATTATTATAAAATATATTGTACATAGCATAATTAAGTTCAGCAGTCTGTGTTATTTTTAGTCTTCCTTTGATGTATGTCAAATTATAAACTTTCACAACACATAAAACCATGATTTTACAGCAAATTTAAAAAGCAACAATTCCCAAACTAATAAGGTCCAAATTTCACATATAAGCCACATCTGTAAATAGATTTTTAAAATTATATTTTTTTAAAATTTGAAACACTGGTAAAGTAAAAATTTATTTTCATGGAGTCCATTTCCTGTGAATTGCTGATCAAAGGTCAAATAGTTTTAGGACCCACAACTAAAATATTTGAAACATGACACAAGAAATATTTTTTGTGCTCTTATAGTATCTAATGATGTAATCTGGCAGAAAATATTGATGGAACTTTAGGTAACAATACTATAAAAAAAATGACAGATCTTAAATTAACAAAATATGGTAATTAAATGTTACTATACAAAAAGATAAGAACATTAATGATTACATTCCAGATAGATATGTTGAAAAACCCATCAAATTTTGTATTTAAAAAAGTATTTCTTTTTTTAGAAAGAAATTCAAAGTTTAATATACATTAAAAAACTAAAAAAAAAAACAAGCCTACACATTTTATACACATTTTAACCCATGACCTAAATATTACCAGCTATTTAAAAACTACAGAAGTCTGAAACTCATCTGCTGTATTTGTTCATTTATTCCGGAACATATCACCACTTGGACATCTGCTCCTCAATCTGTGAATTGAGTGCCTTGGCCAGACAGATGAAGAAAGCCTGCAGAGAGAAATGTTCAGCCATGTTTTCAATTTCATTCAATCTTCATTACTAAACAACACATACAACAGAGAACAGTTTCCAAAAATAATTTTCTTAATTTTAAATCCTTTTTTAACAGATCTGATGAGGGTTTGGAAAAAAAAATTATAATTATACCTCTGTTGTTAGCTAATGTACCAATCTGGTGAGCACTGATCAACTTACAGTATTACTGGCTGAGACAGTGAGAGATTAAGGACAATACCTGAGGTATGAAGATGGCTAAAATTGTTCCACCAACAATCCAGATATTGTTTTTGATCACTTCCTGGAGACCCTTGAAACAGCCTTGTGTATATATGGCAGACTGTGGGTTAAAGGTCAGTATTTAAGAAAATGCATTTACATTACTTTTACTTAAGAGCTAGTTGTAATAAAGATGTATTATTAACTTTTTAACTAAAATATGCAAGTGTGCCATCTAATGTAGTCAAACACTCATAAGATTAATAAGGCTTGAACTGTTTTCAAGTTCTGCAAAATCCATTGCTGCCAATGGAGATTTTTCTTTAGTGGCCTAAAGACTGATGGTTCTCCTGATCTTTGTATAATTTATGTGTTTTAACAGAAGTCTTATTAGTAATAAGACACAAATTGAATCGAGAAATAATAAGTTAATTTGAATTTACATATTTTCTTTAGTGGTTAATTTTCTATTACTTTTTTTAAAGTTAAATTTTTTTTTTTAAGAATAACACAACCAATATATTTAGTGAAATTGAAATTTCTCAGGATCGGACTAGTATATACATTTTTTCATTGAAATAAATGTAAAGGTTTTGTTTTTTTATGACATCATGTTTATTTATTCCTTGTACATAATATGGCTACTTAGAAGCAAGCCAAATAAACTAGACAATTTCCTATATGATGCTTTATCTCAATTTTTTAATACATGTGAATATTTTAAAATAATTTGTCCTAATAAAAGTGATGTGTCACTTTGCTTGGTTGTATAGGAGTTAAAAATGTTTTTGCCGCTCAGGTTGTAAAGGGTTAACTTACTCTGTCAGTTGTTGAGTCTTTCATCATATCTGCACCACATCTGTAGTTTATTGCATCTCCCTACAGTTAAAAAACTCAGGTGAGCAATACGAAAAACCCAACAACACCTTCATGCTCTATATTTGACTTCTCAGTTTTTGACTAACTCTGCAATATGGGCTTAGAAAAATGGGCATAAATAAAAATAGGGCATTAACAACCTAATGATTCAGATGTTTCTACATCACCACAAACAGATGAACTCTACGCCACGTACTCCATGGGCTTTCAGGTTTGACAAGGAACTCTTTTTACTTTTAATTCCATCACCACAAAAAATTGGAAAATATTCAAGATTAATATCAGACAGATGATATTAATGACAACAGGTCATTGGGCAACAATAATTTCAAATGCATCAGTCAATAGAGGATTAATATTGCCAGATCAATTCACAGAAGCATCATATTTTTGTAATGTTGAAGCTAATTGGACTGGTAGATGCTTAACAGTCAACTTGGTGTTTCACATTAGGCTTAGTCAATCTACTGGTACAATCATGTATTTACATACTTACTATACTGGCACAATCATGTATTTACATACTTACTTCCTTAATTTTACAGCATGAAAAGGGGACACTGCATGCTTCAGGGCTTAGGTTGCTAGAGTTACATTTAAAGTAAGGATTCTTGTTCCAGTCTAAATAGCCCACATCATCATTACTGGCACCACAACACGATAACTGTCAAATAGAATCATTTAAAATCTCTTTAGTTTGGCTGATGCATTGCTACATGTTATTTTAAAGATAGGACGAAATTGTTTAGAGAACCCCTAGGGATAGCGAGGTGGGTTTATATCTGTGATGTATTTTTCCCTTGCTCAAATGCAGTTATAAAAGACAAGGGAACAATAGTTAAGGTGACTAAGATAATTTAGGAAATGTACAAAAATGAGAATAAAGTGACCAAAAGTGAATAGTGAATTTTTGGTGGAACACATTTCCTGTATTTAATGTTAATTTTTGGTTATTACATTATTCTTAGCTCCAATAAACACAAGTGTATAGACAATTAAATTGCTAGTAAATACAACAAACAACTCTTAAACTTAACTGTTATCCCAACACCAGTTGCAGTGTAGAATTAGCAAAAAAATGTGATGTATCTATTGTTTACAATGAGAAAAGAGATCAAATATAAATCATTTAAGGATACTTACCAGCTCCTGAATGTTGTCTATAAAACCTTGCATATCCGGGTCATCTCTATAACGACTAACAGCGTCAGTAAATGCTTTTTCAGGATAGAGTCCAATTTTGGCAAATGCCCCATCCACAAAGTAAAACACAAAAATGAATATGACCAACAAAATCTCCAATAACAGCAAGATGCTCAGGATGATGTAGTACTGGAAAAATAAGAATTTGTCATAAAATAACATTTAATAAGACAAACAAATTAACAGAAAATTAAAATAATGTGTACCAATAAATACAAAAGTAATTAAAATACACATAATTTTCTGTTTTAACTCTTTATTTCCTATTTATTTGTTAGACTAAAACTTACGATTCTGAGAAAAAGTCTTGATTCTCGCAAAGCTCCACCACAGCCAAAAAAAGCAACAAAGAGAATGATACAGCCAGAAAGGCATAGGATACAAGCTGGGTCAAAAATAAAGTCAATGAAGCTGGTCACTGACTTTGTTTTTCCTACCAAAATATAAATCCCCACTGCTGTAAATGCAATACCCACAAGCTGAAAAAAAACAAAAACTAAAGTTAAACTAACTAACATCTAACTACTTTTAAAATTTAACTCACTTCTAGTCTATAGGCTTAAACTTGTTAATTAAAAAAACATCTTAATTACTTTAGCCTACTTATTATGCAATAAGAAAAGTAAAGTTCCCTCTTCAAAAGTGATGGTCAATGGGGCAGATGAAGTAGAGTTCACCAGTTTCTATGACCTCAGCATATAAAGGGATAGTGTGGTCAGCACTATGTCCTGCAGCCTTTACTTTCCCAAAGTGAGTTAGGTACCCATGGGTGAGCTGGGTGGACTCAACAAGGACGCTATACTGACTTCAACCAAGATTCAAACTTCAGACTTTCAGGTTAGCAGTATAGTGTTCTACCACTAGGCCATGCTGTCCCATATTAGGCTATAATTGAATTATAATAATAGGCTAATAAATACACTTAATTATTAAGTTAAGCTTTAAACAAAGCCTACATACCAAGAACAAGAAATTAAAGAAAAATAAAATGTATTTCACAATAGGATTCACAGCACTATAATCAGGTGTCTTTTTCCGTCGTCTCAGTGTCTGTGTTATCCTATCTTGAATGACCCCTGGGCCTCTGCTTGGACGTCTAGCATCAGGAGCCTGTGGTGTACGACTTGGGGCCATTATATTTAACTATAACACAAATGAGCTGCAAAGAAAGAGATATAACATTTTAAGTTTTTAGTAAATTCTTACTAATTCCTTGCTTTTTTAAAATTATAGTGCAATTCAGGGGAAACCACTTTAATTTACAGATGCCCGCTGTTTATAAAGCAAATCTTGCTCGCAAACACTGCTGTTAAAAATTAATTTCTGGCCTATTGATATATTTTTATTTATTTAATATTTAGCCATTGATTTTGGTTTATTATTCAGATATCTACAATATTTATATCACAATATAATAATTCAATATATAGCTAGTCTCATAACGCGAGTTGAATTACCTCCCCTGACCCGCTTTTTTATGGCCACTTTCTAGTTCGTTTTTTTCGATCGCGTCTCGGCACTGTTGCTAAAAATAGCATTCGCGCAATACCATACGGGTAAATCTGTTTGGCGTCTGCTACACGTGATAGATCGTTGAATGGCCGACAAGCTGATATAAAAATTATTGCGACCGGATGCGATTTTCGTGGAAATTGAGCTAGATTTAGCAAAAGACAGCTATATTTGTGTAAAATATTATTATTTACACTTCTACTTACACAGATATTTTGATAACTGCAGTTCAGCCGTCCATTTTTCTTTTAAAATGTATCTTTAGAATTTCTGTACCTTTTGGCAATCGGTCAGGAGCATTTGCGCACTAAACCCACCCCCTACGGCAGATCCGATTTTTTTCCCAGTGAACTCGTACTGACCTCCCACATAGCTAAGATAGTACATTGATACTGATGGGAAAGCCTCTAAATCTGTATTCCTACTAGAGATCTAGAAATAAATCTAGATCGTGGAGTTTTTATAATGACTTTTAAATTGAATGTCTCCAGTTTAAGATATTTTTTTTTCAAAACATAGCTACTTTTAGTACTATATTTAAGTATTTCAAACCCTTTTGGTAGTTTTTTCTTAAACTTAGGCCTAGATCTAGTGATTAGATAGATCTATCTATATTTTGTACTTATGACTTGCAGGCCTATTAAAATAATAATAAAACAGTTTGCTTGATAACTTCATTAGGTCATTTCATAAACACAAATGTTATAAACATATAAAAATCACAAAACCATAGGTAATATCTGAATTCTGTAGCCTACCTTACATTAATTTAGGCTAATACTGAATTAAAAAGAAATTACATTAAGGTTTGAAATTAATACAATTTGTAATTAAGAAAGAAAGCTTCAATTCTAAATACTACAAGATATAATAACAAACAATGAAACAAATTCAAAGATTTTTTCAACCCATTTAGTCGAAAAGATTTTTATTTTTTCCGATATTGACCAAAATAAGTTTTTAAAGCTTAGGCCTAATGTTTTTACAAACATAACTCAATTTTATTAGGCCCCTGTAAACATTAATTAAAATTCCTCTGTAGACAAAGCAATCTATTTGGCAGATGAAGTAGAGTTCATGTTTCTTGACCTCGGCATATGAAGTGATTGTCCGTGTGGTCAGCGATATTCACAGCCGCCTTTACTTTTTACCTTTAATTTCCCCAATGTATATCAGGTACCCATCAGAAATGGGTGGACTCTAATTGAATTTTATTAAACAAACATTTTGATATAGGCCTAGATCTATAATCTATAACATTCCAAACATCTGTTGTGTAGAATTTACCTTTCTGCTTCCAAATGCGGTATTTTCCAATTGAAAATTCATCACAAAACATACAATAAATTATATAAATGGCATTTTATAAATTTATATAAACTATTTACTTTCACCTTGGTGTAAAAAAATGTAGGTATAAGCAAACTGATTTCAATAGTAAGAAAGAATCATGTCTTTTCTTGCTTACTAGCTTTAAAACAAGTGAATTTGACTTTTTACCTGCGTTTTTGGTCACGTTTCTATATATTTTATTTGCGACACTAAAAAAATTATATTTAATCAACCGATTATGCTAAATTAATAAAATTGGTACTGTTGGATTGCATTTTTAAAGCTCTACAATTATATGCTATTCTTTTTATAATTTGAAGAAAATTGAATTTATATGAGACTAACTACAATATACTAATATACTTCTATTAAAGCCTTAACAATAGTAGTTATTGTAGTTAACTAGTGTACTACTACTAGAACTAGAGCTACTAGATTTCTAGTAAGTTAACTTAACTTAGTTAACTTAGTTAACTAAGTTAGCTTCAGGCTTAAGTTAATATTAAAAGTAATAAGTTAGTATTAATTAAAGTTAGGGACTAGGCTAAAAAAATAAGTACTAAGTAGTAGTAAGTAAGTAGTAAGTAGGCTAACTTATATAAGTTATAACAATAACAGTTTACAGCACATACATCTAGATCTAGATTTATTCCAGTAGATCTATTTATAATTTATTTGGCTCAAATCCAATTTTTTGTCACGATCTTCTTACTGCTTACTCTTTTAATGTTATTGTCTACACAGCATCCTATTTCTTAAAATAACAATTGCTTTAGAACTCTCTAGTTTTAAAAGTTTGTTGAAACCTTGAGATCTAGATCCTCTAGGCCTAATTTAGTTTCGCCCTTACTAAGGGGAGCAAACCGTTTTTTTTTAAAAAGCTAAAAGCCCATTTATAATTATTTTTACACGCAGTGTTTAAAAGGATTTCATTTCAAGGTCTTAGTACATCAATGTAAGAAACTACCTCAAAACAAAAATTGTATATCGCATTTTTAACTGCTATTTTCTGTGTAACAAGAGAAGTGTAACACGCATAATGATAAACTGTTTTCAGAAGTATAACGCGCATTGTGATTGCTAACTGCTCACACAAATGTAACAACAGAAGTCGTACGTTAAAATATTTTAAATGTTATCGATGTTTGTTTTAAGTGAAAAAAGTGAATATACCATTTAAATATTTTTTGTATAGTTTATACATGAACAATACATGAATCAATGATGTGACCTACTTAGGTCTCGTCATGTTCCATTCTTAGTTTGACATTGTATAATACCTTATATGGATTGATGGTGCAACTACTGGGGTTTTTCCACTGTCTTATTAAGGGTGTCTAGGACCCAGAAATTTTCCATCAAGATCTGATTGATTAATTCTGATCAGATGACCATCCCAACCAATGGCTACATGAGTTGAGGATAACCTCCCCTGTTGCATAAGTCTTTAACTGGATCGCACACACGCAACACGAGGCAGTCTACCTTGATCAAGCGGTCTATTATGACCAAGCCGTCCATTTTGTCCGGCAATAGATTCTGACCATTTGAACGTGAGAGAACTTAAGTCCTGAGTGTGTAATGCTTTCTTAAGTTGTTTTAGTCTTCTTGTATAATATTACTTGTCGCCAAGTGATTCTTGAAGCTATAGCAGTGTTGTGTGACCCGTGGCTATTTTTATACAGTGTTAAAATCTGTGATAGTATTTTTTCTTACGCTTAGTAAGTTGGGTTTTGTTATTTTCTAAATTAAATACTTTATCTCGTTTAACCTAGTGTTCTGCCACAACTGTGTTCGCTTATTAAAGGTTGTATGCAGATTGAATGAGTTGTTAACTTCAATAGTATCACTAGTTTTCCCTAGACATCGAATTCGAGCCCTAGTGTGTTGTTGAGTTAGTGTTCATTCATTTAGGCTGTAAGTCATTTGCATACGACCCCGAAAAAAGAATCCGGGGACGTTCACCTTCTATCTGGCTGGTAGATAGGTAAACGTTACAATGATCATGATGTTAAGTTAACTTTCTTCAACATCATCATCATTCCTTTGTGGCCCCTGGGGAGCAAAGGGCTGCAACTACACATTTCCATCGGACTCGATTTTGGGCTGCTCCCTTAATCTGTGCCCATGTGAGCCCAGCTGTTTTCGCCTCTTCCTCAACCGTTCTTTTCCATGTTTTCTTTGGCTTTCCTTTTTCCCTGGGGATTCCAGTCCATAGCATGTTTTGCAATATTTTCTTTTTCTATTCTTAACGTGTGTCCGATCCATCCCCATTTACGGGCCTTGATATCTTTCTCTATTGGCTGTTGCTTTAAAATTTGCCACAGGTCTTTGTTTGATATTCTGTCAGGCCATCTTATTTTAAGTATATGTCGTAAGCATTTGTTTACGAACGCCTGTAGCCTATCAGTATTTGTCTTCGTAACCCTCCAAGTCCCCGAGCCATAGAACAGCACTGCCTTGACATTTGTGTTGAAAATCACAATTTTGCTCCGGAGTGACAGGGCCGTGCACCTTCACATCGGGCGCAGTGAGTTGAAGGCACATCTAGCCTTGTTAATACGGCATTTTCTGTCCTCGTCTGCTCCCCCATCCTTAACTTTCTTAGCCAACCTTTTTGTTTCTTTCAGGAATCTCTTCAGTGGGCACTGCTTCCATGTGTTTCTTCCAGACTTTTTTCTTCGGGGGGGGGGGGGGGCAGAGCTGAAGAGATGCCTGGAAGAAACACTGCCCCCCCCCCCCCCCATGGAGAACGTCTACCCCCTCCCCCACATCCAAATGTTTCAAAGTATAAATAATCAAGCAAATAGGACAAGTTGACAGAGGAACTCGATTGTTATTGTTGCAAATTTTATCCATAGGACTATCCTACTTTAACAATTTGAACATACAAACAATTTTTAATAAGAAACGCATGCAAAGATGTAAGTAGCAACACTAAATCTAAAAACAAATTTCACGAAGTTTTGACACTAATTTCCTAGTTTTGTTTATTACATTTAATCCAGCCCATGTAGATCTATAGCCAATCAAAATCAACTATAAGACTGTCACCTATCCAAGAAATATGTTGAAATAATGTTATTAATCAAATGTTGAGCTTCGTTTTTTTTTTTTTTGGTTTTTTTTTGGATGTGTTGTATTAACAGGGAAATAATTTAGGAAATTCAAAAGAAATTTGTAAATTCCATGTATGAAATGTGAATGTGCGTTTCATCAATAAAAATATAAGCTAAAGCTAGAGTTGATCTAAACGTTATGTTAATTAATCAAGATATTGATTTAATTTAATTTGTTTACATTATTTAAAACAACTAAAATACTCAATTTAGATGATGAACATTAATTTTGAACTGCGATAAACTGTGATGCGTTAGGTAAAACATTGCTGCAATACGTTGCGTTTCTAGCACGTTGACTTGTCTATGTAGATGTTTCTCGACTTGACCATTGGGGTTATGTCTGGAATCTCATGCGGCTCCACCCTCTGTGGAAGTGGCAGCAGGCGATGACGGACGAGGTTGGAAGATTTGAAAGCGTCGTGGTAGTAGGAGTAGTACTCGCCTCTGGGGAACCGGGCTGGCGGGATGTTGGCGTCTCGCTTGGGCCAGGGGGCGTTGTATGGGTGCAGAAACATCGACATCGGCGGGTCCTGGTGATACAAGATCCGCGACAAATTTGTTTTTAATAGCTTTTAAAACGTCGGCATAATCATATTCGTCATTTCAATAGGCCTGATGCTGCGAACGGCTATATTAACGTAATCGCCACAAATCGGGGGGGGGGGGGGGGGGGGGGGGGTCAAATGGGCGTGACGTAATCGCCACAAATCGGGGGGGGGGGGGGTCAAATGGGCGTGACGTTATATTTAGGATGCAGGCAGGTCAGTGCAAGCGCAGAGCATGTGCTCTTCTTCTTCTTCGTTCTTAATTATTAGTGTTGAAGGGGATCGAGATTTATCTGCCAGTGTGGTTGAATTTGAGACTGTTCGAATTTATCAACCATGAGCTTTTTGCCGACTCGACCACGCCTCCAACACAATTAAGCGTTACGTGTCAACTGGTTATGCGCCATTGAGGCCATTGACTCCGATTTCAGCCTGCTTTTCTTTTTGGATTTGCTTCCATAGCCTTTGTCCAACCAAGAACAAACTACAAGGCAGCAGTTGTTTAATTTTGGAGTTGTCTCTCCTAGAAGAGTGGCTGTCCCCAGCTAACGAGCCTCATCTGCCCGAGGGTTCGAACTCGAGACTTTTCGGTTTAGCAACCATGAGCTTTACCGACTCGACCACGCCGACCCCTGAGCATGTGCTAATCAGTGTGTCTTTCAGACTTTTTTCTAAGGGGGGGGGGGGGGGGCTTGAAACTTTCGGCGAAGGGGGGAGACTACATTTTCTGGCGGGGTGGGGAGCGGACAAGAAAAGTATATATTTTCTATATAAATTCTATTTCGTTTGGAGGGAGGGTGGTAGACGTGCTCCCCCAAAGAGATGCCTTTAAGGAACATTAGTGCTAATGCAGGCATATCTACAACTTTCTCTGACCTTTTGTAGATTTCTCTGGTGGCCATTTCTTTTGAATTCTGGGACATCGCTGGGCTGGGTGCCGATTGGATGACTTATGGCTGCCTTCACGTGATGTTGTTGACGGAAATAGTCGGACCAGACATCCTCTATCTCACAACTTTAGGATGAAGAAGGGAAAACGTAGCTTTAAGCGCTGGTATCACATCACATGAAGCATAGCGTAAATTGTCCTTAACTTTAAAAATGTGTTTACATTGTCTAAATGTACTTGGTGGCACCTCAAACATTAAGACATTTTTTTTTGTGAACACGGTGTAGAGCAGACGGAGGAAAGAACCAAATCAAGCTTTATTCACGGGGAGAAAAAGTAAATAACCAATGACATGCTTAATTTATAGGCACACACAACTATAGACAGACACAACTAATAACCAATCATAAGGTTTATTTATAGGCAGACACAACTAATAACCAATCATAAGGTTTATTTATAAGCAGACACAACGACTAACCAATCACAAAAAAGCTGTGACTATTGACAAAAATCAAACAAAAACTACAACACACCTCTCCGTGCCGTCGTCCTTGTAGAAGGCCACATGTCGGAACTGGTGCCAATCTGGGTACACTGGAATATGGTGCACTGGGCTTGTCCATGCGATGGCTCTGTAATAGAGGCATTATTTTGTCTCACCCGCACACACGACACGATGGCACCCACACACACACGATGGCACCCACACATACGATGGCACACACACACGATGGTACCCACACACGATGGGACCCACACACACAATGGCACCCACACACACAATGGCACCCACACACACGATAGCACCAACACACACGATGACACTCACACACACAATGGTACCCACACACGGTGACACTCACACACACAATGGCACCCACACACACAATGGCACCCACACACACAATGGTACTCACACACACAATGGTACCCACACGATGGCACCCACACACACAATGGCACCCACACACACGATGGCATCCACACACACATAATGGCACCCACACATACGATGGTTCTTAAATAAAGGAATTGTTTTGTCTCACACACACACAAGAATATCACAGGATGCTAGTAGATCAAACATTACAAACTGTTCACGGCGTGTTAACTGTGACATATGATCTAAAGTGTCAGAAGCAAACATACAGATGAACAGATGAGAAACTAAATTTACAATATGATGGCCTAACATGGACAGTAGCTTACATTTACGGTGGGTATTTTATTTTCAGTAACAGTGTTTCTTTCAGGCATCTCTTCGGGGTTGGGTGGGGGGGGGGGGCACATCCACCCGGACACAATAGAAAGACATATCAAAGGCGTAGCCGGGGCGGAGGGGGGTGCGAACCGCACCGGGTGACACCATTTAGGGGGGGGGGGGTGACACCAAGGCAAAAAATTGCAAAATATACAAAAGAAAAATGTTCTTTTGCCAGTTCCATTAATCTTTAAATTAAAGTAAAATAGTCTTTTAAGTATAAATTGATAATTATTACAAGAGGGTGTGGGTGACACCATGACGTAAACATACTAACTATAGAAGAAACAATGCAACATCCAACTATATATATATTTATTTATAATTTGTTTCTTGGGGAAGGGGGGTGACACCACGAAGTGAAGCACCGGGTGACACCCGACCTAGCGACGCCACTGAGACATATAATTTATCTAGAAAACATGTACTTTTAGTTTTGTCAGTATCCGGCTTCCAGACTTTTCGGAAGTCTCTCTGATCTAAAGTAGCATGCTAATTCCACTCTATTATTGTCATAGGCCTAGATCTACATCTCTTTCACGCTAAACGCACACGTGATGCCACATTAGGCTAAGCCAGTTCTAATGAGCCCTCCACGCCCACCTCACCTGTAAAAACCGCCCTCCTCACCTGTAAAACCCGCAGTTTTCTTTATCTTTCTCCGGCATGTCCAGAGCAACTGGAACTTTTCTACGATACGAAAATCTGCTCACAGCCATGCTGTTAATCAGTTCGGTGTTTCACAAGTAAAGAAAAAAAGTGAACTTCTAAATGGTTTCTTTTGTTTGTTTGTTTTTTTAATGTGTCCCTCAGACGGAAGTTGCTGTTTACTCCGTGGGATAGGATTTGGCTTTAAGAGTATTGTGTACAAACTAAATACATTAAATCAACGTTGAAAAAGTAGAAACTGACATTGCTTATCACTGTGTGTAACTGATAAAACAGCTATTTCTTTCAAGGTCGGGTGTTGTTTTTATTTTTAAATAAACCGGGAGTGATCTCAAATATTCTACGTGGGATGGCAACTCGGGATACAGACATGATTTTTAATTACTTAAACTTTTAAAAATATAATAGATTCTCGTAAAAAAAGAATAGCACACCAAGTGAACGCCAAACAAAATGTGCAAAAATTCACATGCATTTTTCGAGAAATCGGAAAATAGCGTAAATTACTACTTCGGTTCAACGGAAATTACTCAAAATAAAAAAGAAGGCAGAGAATTAGATAGTTTACTTACATGTGAAATTTCATTTAGATCTATCTGAAGTAGTACGTAGTACTCAAGTTATAGGCTTTTGAAAAGTTGAAAGTAGAATCAATTCCACTTCCGGTTATCGGAAGTCGCTGAAAAGTTGATACGGATCTACAAATTTGATACAATACTTATATAAGAAACCTAGCTGTAACGGTACTCAAGTTATCGTGTTTTCCGACACACACAGACATACGGACAAGATGCAAAACTATGCTTTTTTCGACTCAGGGAGGTATAATACGTCGAGATTTGCAAAAACCTCAATTTTTTTTTGCACGATTACAATACTTTCTCTATACTTCGTATATACGAGAAAGTAAAAAAAAGGTTAGACAAAACAACAAAAAATCCTTGTGTAGTAGTAGTATTCAAATTATTTATTAAACATGAATAAATCAATTAAACAATACTTTTGTAAAAAATTTAGAAGGATAATCAAACATTTTTCAAATACAAACTTCTCCCCCCCCCCCCCCCCCCCCCGCCTCCCCACCAATTGCTTTCACCAAAAGAAAACAATGTGAGATTTTCACTAGATTGTAGAGATGGCACTGTTATACAGAGTGGAAAAATAAAATATCAAAACAAATTGTAGAATGACTGCTGCTGTTAAGTTAAAACAAAAGGTAGACATGACTAGATAAACAATGGCAATATCACATTGGAAAACAAATAGTTGCAGTATTTACATCATTGCTATTAACATATTCACAGTTTATAAAAAAGTTTGGTAGACAAACTTCAACAGGGTTATTATTTTAAAAAATCCCAGTACACAGTGCATCAATGTACGGCATTACACATCCAGACACTAGAGATGTATAAAAACATCAATTTCTACATGTCTTGGACCTGATGTTCTTGCACTCAACATACCAGCACTCACTCATTGGACCTGATGTTCTTGCACTCAACATACCAGCACTCACTCATTGGACCTGATGTTCTTGCACTCAACATACCAGCACTCACTCATTGGACCTGATGTTCTTGCACTCAACATACCAGCACTCACTCATTGGACCTGATGTTCTTGCACTCCACATACCAGCACTCACTCATTGGACCTGATGTTCTTGCACTCAACATACCAGCACTCACTCAGCGTCTAATACATGTGGTTCACATTTCTCCAGAATAAAAGATAAATTGCTAGCACCTTTAATCAATGAATATAACATTTAAGGATAATTAATACAATGAATTGTTTGTTCATAGAAGAATTCTGGCCTCCATATTTGTCAACAGTGGTTCCTACCTAAAACATTAAAAGACCATTACATACTAGATTTATCAACAAGATGGCAAACACTTGAGGTTATGGATGCACTGCTATATCTTAGGGTTATGGTTTACAGTTTGCATTGTTAACAGCCAGTGTGATACTCCTAGCCATAGCAAACGATAAGACATCAAAGTAAGTTAATAAGCTATAGAAGAACTTATATTCTGTAGTAACTAGGAATTTAAAGATATTCAAAAGAATATTTGATGAAGAAATTAGAGCAAATGCTGATTGATCTTCAAAACCTGATACTAAATTTCATTGCTTTTGTATTATTTTACTTAAACATGAGATTCTTTAAAAAATGATCACAATTTTCTAGAAATTAGGCTTTAATAAAAATGTTGACTACAATGGTACCTTCAGTGTATAGCTGAATACAGGCATTAAAAAATATTTTTAAAAATTGTATTCCTACCTAAAATACATCATTGTATTTATAGGTGTTCTGACTATAATCTAAAATATAAATTAATAAGCAATACCCGCTAGTAATAAAACAGTATAAACACCATAAAAAGAGTCAAGTAAATAACCATTTCTGCAGAACAAATAGGGCCTAATCAGAAACTTCACAAAAATTAAATCACCAATATATCTAATTTAACATATAGCGAAGAGAAATAGAAGCTTTTTTTTAATTTACTAAAATGCATGCTTGCAAGAGCATTTTAAAATTTAAGAAAATTGACATCGAAATATTTTTGAAGAATATTATCTCTATAGTTAATATAATTGGCCAACTTTATCTTTTTTTCAATAACACATTAAAAAATGAGGTATTTTAATTTACTTCAACTGCATATTTAAACATAAGAAATGTGGTAAATACTAAATACACTGTTCTTTTTATCTGAAAAAGAATAATATTTTACTAAACCATTTAAAATAAATTATTTTGATAACCAAATAACCTTATAGGGTACAAAACTTATTATGCATGTATATAACTGTAAAAATAAATCGTGTATATGTCAGAGTATAAAAAATTATGAAGGTAAAAATTTAAAAAACAAACAGTTATTGTAGAACGAACATTAAACTCTGCAGAGTATTCTAGTAATGTAAAGTAGTAAAGATTCCACTTTAGACCTAATCAGGCAGATGAAGTAGAGTTTATCTTTCATGACCACGGCATATGAAGGGATAAAGTGGTCAGCACTATGCCTAGCAGCCTGTTCTATCCCCAATGTGAGTTAGGTACTCATCAGAGCTGGGTGGACTCAGGAATGTTCCACTTACTTTAACCCAGTTTTTAACTCTAGACTTTGGGGTTAGCAGTATAGTGCTATACCTCGAGGCCATGCCTTCCCATAGTAATATATTTTGTAGGAATCAATTTTCTTTGCTAGTTTCAAATAGCTTTATATCAGATCATGAGAATGTTAAAGTTAAACTGTGCAACAAATATGGAATTCAAATATCTGACTTTACATCAGACTTTAACACTTCTACTTCTATCTGATTATTAAAAAATATTACATTTTTAAAAAGTTCTAATTATGCGTTTCCTCGGTTAAATAAATACAACAATGATAATTGTGAAAATCCCAGGTTCTGTAGCATCAGCATTATAAAATAGTAAAATGCAGTAGGAATGAACTGTTTACACAACAAAATGTTATAATGCTAGAAGATGAAGTAAAATCAATATCAGTAGTATCTATTAACATGTATTGAGCCAGAAAGGAAGGACTAATATCATACTTGAGCAAACTATACAACAATAATTTGTGTATTGTTGAAAAAATCATAATAAATGTACATACTTTTGAGATAGAGGTATTAAAAAAATCATTCATATACTCCTAGAAACAGGAGTAAATAATGCTTTGTAATTATTTAAATTAACAAAAGTAACAAAAGCTATAAAATATTTAAAAAGGTATGTGAATACTGGCTCTAAATAGTTAATTCATGTTGACAATTTTACAAGTGAGAACAAATTGTGGAGAAAAATGGGAGGAGAACATTGTATAGAAATGAAAGTTTCACAGTCACAAAAGTTATGTTTATAAATCAAACTCTTTAAAACATAATACTTTTATTAAATATTTCAGTGAGAGCACTAATAAAGAATGACTACACAGTTTTTTCAACCCATTTTGTTTAATCTCCTATATTTTTTTTTCCTAAATGGGTACAGAACTCCTTTCAGTTATGTTTCTATGCTGGCTATTGGAGGTACATGACAAACAATATACAACTAACCACAAAACCAAATGTAGAGTTGGAATATAATTTTAGCTGCTAGTTTAAATAAGAAAAAGCCTATTTATAAAGTTCAGTAATTCAAACATTAGCCAACACATACAAAAATGTCACGCTGGATGGGAATTTTCAGGAAAAGCAGTTTGTGGAAGCAACTGAAAAGAGGACATGGTAAGTTGGGTATCAGCTGCAAATCTACCTGATGCACCATGGAAGCCTCCGTGAAATGAATTCCGTTGTAAACTGTTCAAGCTTGATGGTAAATAAGCTTTACTGTTGTAGGAAAACGTGTAGGTACCCATATCACGAGCAGACATTTGTATATTGGTAGATAAATGTGGCTCTGACCGAAGCATGGAAATGCTAGTGTGCAAACTCGAGTCTTTAAGTGAAAAGGGCATACCAGAGGAGATGGTGTCATGTGCCATGTGGATGTCTGGTTGACTGAAAGCTCCATCTTGAAGACTTGAATGCCGCTGGTCATTTGAGAGAAGGCTAGATGATTGTAGTGTTAAGCCATACGGATGTCTGGACACTCCATATGGATGAAGATCATCACTACTATGTATTGGGGATTTCTTTATTAAGTTATCGTCTAAATACATTTTTCTATTCTCAATATAGCTTTTATCTGGGAAAATTGGATTTGGACTTTCCAGATATCTCTTTTCCATCATGGTGTTATCTGAGCTTTGTGTGTATGAACCTGTAGAATTGGTGGCAAAATTTTTCTCTATAGCAGGGGTATGTGAGTTATTCATAAAACTTTTATCTGAATAAGAACTTCCTGGACTAGCCGCAAAATTTTTGTCTGAATAAGGTGTACCCGCTGGTCTAGAGTAATGTTTATCCTGGTATATGCCATTGGGAGTGTCTACAAACAGCTTTTCTGAGTAAGAATTGTGAGATCCAACATAAGATTTTTCTGTGTAAGAACTGTTGAGTTGTTTAGGGAATTGGTTTTCTTGGAATGAACTGTTTTGAATTGGAACAGAATTTAATGACATGGCTGAATGCTCATACTTGATATGCTGAGGTTGATGTTTCAGATGAGTATTTTCACTTTCTTCATGATCACTTTCAGTCTCTGAACAAGTATCACTGTCCAGATAACTGTCATCTGATGGCCTGGGAATAATATCACAATTTAACATTGAACTGTCTTGGCTAGTGAACATCATTATACCAGCCCGCTTGTGGTCACTGATATGCTCTAACAAAAGTTTGCGCAATGAGAAACTCTGGCCACAGAGAATACAAGTATGTGGCCTCTCACCTGTATGTTCTCTGCGATGAACAGTGAGGTGGTGTTTTTTCTCAAATGTCTTACCACAGTCGGAGCAGGAAAACTCACCGCCATCTACTTCAACAACATCTTCATCAACTATGTCATCTCCACCTCTAGAATCCAAGCCTTCTCTCTCATGTTTTTTCATATGATTGTTTAAAAACACCTGCCCCTTAAACATTTTCCCACACAGTCCACAAAACAAAGGGCCTTTAGTGGGAGGCAAAAGAGCGGCTGAGTTTAATTCACTCCCCATATGTGTAGAATAGTGGGCAGTGAGAACCTCTTCTGATGGGAACATTTTACCACAAACTTTGCAAAGTAACGGAAGCTGGTTTGAATGGCACAGCATGTGAGCCTCAAGATGGGAGACACGGCCAAATTCCTTGCCACAAATTTGACAAATCCTCCCTGCTCGATCTCGATGAGCTGCCATGTGCCGGTTTTTATTATTAATACTTTCAAACATTTTACCACATTCTTCGCACTGCAGATTACCTTCTTCTAAATGTGCCATATGGTGTTTGAAGAACTCCATAACATCAGTATACATTTGGCCACAACGCTTGCAGTCATACGCCCCCTCCTTCCTGTGAGTCCGCATGTGAACTTTTAGAACAGAAGCCTGGGAAAAATCTCTCTCACACAAGCCACATTTGTAAGGCCTCTCCCCAGTGTGAATTCTAAGGTGGACAGACAACACAGATGCTGACCTGAAATACCTCTCACAAAACTCACACTGAACCTGCTTGTGAACACGTTTATGCTTTTCTTTCTCATACTGTGTAGGGAAAACCTTTTCACATAACCCACAAGGATACTGCACACCTTCAGCACCATGAGTTTTCATATGTTGTTTAAATGCAATCCATTCAGAATACTGACGTCCACAATCGGAACACTGTAAATTTTGATCATGTTTACTTGTAAGGTTGTGAACCATTATATGGGTATCTAGTTTCTTTCCACTTTCAAAGAGTTTACCACAGACAGAGCAGCAGTGATTTTTCCCCACCTCATGACTTGCCATGTGATTCCTTAACCTCTGACCTGTGTGAAATTGACGACCACATATCTAGATACAGAAAAAAGTGGCAAATATGGTTAAACAGCAACAACTTTTTTAATATGTAATACATTTTGTAAAATTATTTTTTAAAAACATGTGATCCATCTAAATCAAGGTATCTTAAACTTATTTGTTCTTTAAACCCCCCCCCCTCCCATCATGAAAGTCAATCTTTTCAAAATTGTAAAAATACAATTGTAGGCACTGGTGGTCTATACATGCAATGCTGTTTTTCATTTTATAGAATACCTCACACTTTTTTAAAAAAATGATACCCATAAAACAGTCTTTTCTTATTCCTGACAATTAACTAGTGAAAAAGACATTTTCGATAAACCTATTACTTTTTATTTTTTGATGAGTGTATACATTTTCCAACCTAATTTCAACAAGAAATAGCAATATTTCTAGATGATGATGATGAGTTTTTCAAATTCCCCCCCCCCCCCCCCCCCAAAAAAAAAAACTAATACATGTGTGTCCAGTTGAATACTTTTGTGATATTAAATGAGATTAACACAGGAACTATATGACAACATGGACATAACTAATCACCCTTGTGTTTCATCTCTACAGTGCTGCAATGATTTTTTTTTTTTTTAACTAATTCCTTAACTCATTTCTATTCATCCCTCCTTTACTACACAAGGTTTTCTTAATCTTAACCTAGAATATATCTACACCTTCCTACCCCATTTTGATGCCTTAAATGTCACCCTAAGCTTCTTAACCAATTAAGTATACTATAACTGATAATCAATTTTACATATTTATGATAGTCTGATTGATGAATGAGTTAAAAAAGTAAATAAATAAAATTATTTAAACCCGAATTCTTATGAATTGAATGGTTAATTAGTAGAGTCATTATGAAAAATAACTTACATTACAAGCAAATCTCTTGCCCCCTGATTCTGTGTGTTTGGCTTTAAGATGATACAAATATGCTCTCCAGTTGACACATACCTATTAAATTATAAAAGAGATAAAATTATTAACACTTTTAATAAATAACATAAGGATTTTAAAAGATTGCAGCAATACTAAATGACAATGATATTCAAGTCAAAGCAGTACAAAGCCCAAAAAATTGATGATAACATAAGGAATTTTTTATCATTATGTTTTACCTTGCCACAACTTTCACACGTAAATGAAGCTTTGCGGTCAGTGTTGTGTACTGGAAGATGGTGGTCAAGCTTGTCCTGAGAAGAAAACATCTTGCCACATGTGTTGCAGCAAAAAGGTTTCCCTTTACTGTGACCTAGCATGTGACTGTCATATCGACTTGGAACACGAAAAACCTTTCCACATATTCCACATGGATAACTAGGAGGGGGACGAGATAATGATCTAATACTGGAAGTTGACCCGGCTGAAGTTTGGGACAGTCTTCGTATGCGTTTAGGAACTGTTGGTGCAGCTTGAGTATTTACTGGAGTAACTGATTGAGGTATTAATGGTTGCAACTGTAATGCTAACTGAGACTGAGTACTGCGATATATCCCTTGTGTAACATCATTAAATAGATCTTCCATGTTCTGAGTGCCATACTTAGATGTGTCACAATTATCTTTGGGTGCAATGTGTTTGATCTGTGTTTTTGATGGCTTTCTCTTTGATCTGTTTTTTGCATTTGAAGGATCTTGTGATGTTTGTGTATCAGTGGTGTCACCATCAGCAGATTCAGGGGACCCTTCACCAACTGAGGCTCCTTCATCTAAGCCATCCATGGTGGAAACCTTTACAAAAAAGTAAATGTATATTTATATGTAGGTCCAACACCCAATTGGCTGAATAGATTTCTCAGCTGAACATTTTCTGTTTAACCATTGTCCGCTTTTTGTGATACATTTTGATATTTTCATGTCAGTAGTAGTGTCTGTTGAAACAATCGCCACAAGTTCCTGCATGAAAATATTTATAAAAATATAAAGATCTAGCATTTTTTAAATAATATAGAAAATTGAATATAGTCTACCTAAGACTAAGACTTGTCCTAAGTAAAAAAAATTAACTAAGTAAGTACTTGAGAGTGAGTAAGGCTATCATTCTATGAAAGAGCTTTTGTTTTCTTAGTTTACCGGTCATTAACTCGATAGTCGATACCCACTTCAAGGATAAATTGAAAACATTTAGATCTAGATCTAGATCTAATAATTCTAGTATAGTGAAGCCTATAGATTTAGAATCTAGTAATTATTAATTATAGGCCTATATTTAGGATAGCCTAGATCAGTGGCGTAGGCAGGGGGGGGGGGGGTTAGGGGGGGTCATAACCCCCCCCCCCCCATAGACCCCTCGATATATAGAAAAAGTATGAGGGGGGTGCAAATCGAAAGTTTGAGGGGGGGGGGGGGGTGCAAATCGAAAGTTTGAGGGGGGGTGCAAATCGAAAGTATGTCCCAGGGTACAAAATGGAACCCCCCCCCCCCCTTGAGACGATCCTGGCTACGCCACTGGCCTAGATACTGTAGATTTAGATAGTAGATAGATCTAGAATAAAACTAGATTCTAGATCTAGACTAGATTCATAATCAATAAATTTAAAGAGTAGATTGTAAGACTATCACGTAGATAATTAGAATAATTAATAATTAGGCCTAATAATTATGCCAAAATTGGCAAATTGCAGGTTGTAAGTAAAAACCTAATCGATACCTCGTAGTCGTAGAATATCAGGTGTGCTTAAATAAAATAGTACGGTAACGATACTAGATCTAGATCTAAGTAAGTTCCATACCACATTATCATTAACAATTTGCCGCTAGAAAAACAGTTACAGTGCAATGATGTGAAGCTGCGGTGGCTGTTTTAAAGAGAATTGACTATTGTTGATAGAACACATGCTTGCTTTTGCAAAAAAATATCACCTTATATGTTGAAAATATAGATCTAGATGTAGATCTAGCTGTTTATTTATTTTTTATTCTTCTCGATATAACTGTGCTTGTACGTCCACCATATCCGTTTGTAAGTGCGTCGGCGCGAGAGGGCGCTCCTAATGTGTGCAAGAGTGTGTTAGACAGCGTGTACGTGTTTACTGCGAGGCACAACACTTCACTACAATATACTCGATCTATATTTAGACCTGGGTACAAAGAACAAAAAATTTAAATCTATGCCGTAAAATAGCTCAACAAAAGTAGGGACAATAGATTCAGCATATGGGCATAGGTCACTTCGTGCATTATTACTCTTGTTCCTAGAATAGCTAGATTAGATTTAGTTGTTACTGATAAATAAATGGCTTGCATTTGGATAGTCTTAGGACTTAAATTTAAATATTAAATAAACAGAAACACAAGTAGAGGCGTAGCCAGTTTTCATTGTGTGTGTGTGTGTGGGGGGGGGGGGGGGGTAATAAAATATATCAACTGTAGCCGAATATATATAACACATGCAGTGTGTGTGTGGGGGGGGGGGGGTGTGTTAGGGTCCATGTGGATGTTCACATGTTGAATTTAAAATCGAAACACTTACATATTAACACGAACATAAACTCCTACTATTAAGACGGCTGTGCGTGTTGTTTTTTTTTGTTTTTTTTTAAATAAACCCATGGGAACCAGTGGCCTAGCGACCCTCACGGCGCGATTGTAGGAAAAAAAGTCACAGGAAAAAAAAACAGAAAAAAAGTCACAAGAAAAAAGTCTCAAATATATATTTGCATGATATTTGTTAATACTTTAATGTATTAAATATTTAGAGAGTGCAAATTAACTTAGGATTAATTAAATGTAATGTGTGTAGGCTGTATACGCATAGGAATTTTTATAATTCATCTAAAAATATTTATTATGAAGTTTGTAGATTGTAATTATTTTAAACTTAAGATTAGTAGCATTTAATAGAATGCTCCAAAGTCCACGTTTTTCATCGTGGTTTTTTTAAAATACCAATATTAAATTACCGTGAAATGGTAAGTTCGCCGGACTTGCTGCCCTCAACTCATGGCAACAATAGTTATGTTTAGTTCAACCACCTTTACTCAGAGGCGTAGCTAGGGGAGGGCGGCCGCCCCGGGCGCCGACCCTAGGGGGCGCCAAAAGGGGTAGAAACTTTTTTAACAAAGTTCATTTTAAGCTGCAGTTTTGAATTATAAACAAAGTAAAGAAATTTAACGGATGAGAGCCCTTGCATACTGATTTAACTGTTTTCTACCTTGATTGTGTAACTGTAAAACGTATATCCTTAAGAAATAGTGACCGGAAAAACCGCTATCCAGCTTTCCTAGAGGGGGGGGGGGCGCTTTTTCGAAGACTAAAATCGGAAAAATTCACACCGGATTAAGGAATAAATAACCGATATCACTCAGAAAAGAAAAACACGATTGTGTAACATAAAAAAAGAGTTAGTGACGTTTAAAATCCACTCTACCATTTTTGTGCAAGATGGTGGGGCACTTATCACCAACAAAAATCGCAAGGATTTGTAATGGATCGCTTACTATATAAATATTTTAACACTTAGAAAAGAAATCTATTCACTACCCAGTTTTGATAAGTAATAACGCGACTAGTTCTTTGTACGATTCTTACGATTCTCTCAACTTCATCGTGAGAGATCAGATACTTTTACTTGATTGCGTTACATCTTGCCAGGATCACTGCATTAAAGAGAAATAAATATCACGGATTCTTGTATCGCTATCCGATCAGTAAAATAGCAGACTGTCGGAGCGCGTGGGTGGGAAGCGACACTCTTTGCCAAAATTTTAAGAGAGAAGAAAGTTAGTATTTTGTACTAATTATTACTTTGTTCAACTGATAATTCAAAATTGTGATATAGGCCTACAATTATCGAAATTGTTCTAAAGATACGACCAGAAGTAGACCAAATAAGGCTTGCACCTTCTACACCTTAAGCAATGGTTCTTAACTTTTTGGAATCACCGAACCCTTCTTAATAGTTGTATCATCCACACAGACCAAATCCGAACCTGAATCATAAAAAGACTGTGCTAAACGAATTAGCACCGGTACAATTTTAATTTTTTTTTTGACATTACTTATCATCATTTTTAAAGGATCTTATCGGGAATTTAATTGGCGTCCAGTGAAGTTTTAGGGAACGACAATCAGCGTATTTGTTAATTTTTTTCCAGACTGTCGCACACACATACACACACACGTATATATATATATATATATATATATATATATATATATATATATATATATATATATATATATATATATATATATGGGGGGCGCCAAACTGATGAAAGTTTGCCCCAGGCGCCGGGAGGGGTCGCTACGCCTCTGCCTTTACTGCCCTTATTTATCACGCTCATTACATAACAAAACTTAGGATCAAAACAGAAAGCCGACAACGTTCAAAAGCTGTCATTGACGCATAACGTCAACAACATAAAATATGTTCGGACAATGCCTACTGAGGAGAGGCCGACCAGAGAATAGCCTACGGCAAAATGTGCCTAAATTTCTTTTATAGTTAACTTTTCTACCGCGTATTTAACTAAATACGTAACAAAAGTTGAGATTGTTGTGTTAATTATCTTAGAGTATTTTTACTTACAGTTGTTATAAATCATAATGCTTTTAACGTCTATAAATAATTTATGCTATTAAAAATACAACCCACAACAATAAACATACAAAATTTACAATTCTTAACAAATTAATAAAAATATTTCTAAAAAGAGTTTTGTGACTTTTTTTCTGTGACTTTATTTCTGTGACTTTTTTTTCCGATAAAATTTTTCCACTGTGACTTTTTTTCCTAGCAAAAACTGTGACTTTTTTTCTGTGTTTTTTTTCCTGTGACTTTTTTTCCGTTCACCCACGGCGCCCGGGGCGAACTTTCAATTAGGCGCCCAACTCGTGTATATATATATATATATATATATATATATATATATATATATATATATATATATATATATATATATATATATATATATATATATATATATATATATATATATATGTAACTAGGGGAAGTTACCAAGAGACATAACGTGTTACAGTCTGACGTCACAGTGCAGGTGTTGGCTGATGCCAAGGCGTAATATCTCGGGAAGCGATACGAAAGACGGTCTGTCAACTTTGATGTGACAGGATGCAGGTGGCTTATTAAAATCGGACTGTACGACAGAAGCGGCGTAATTAACAGTCTGATGTAACGATTAGAATCGATTACAATTACGATTATGATAGGACCGAATATGAGTACGATTATGAAGGGGATATAAGGAAGGCGACGGCTGAGCTCGAGGTCTCTCAGAAAGTCTCTCAGAAAGTCGGTCTCAGAAGGTCTGTCAGTCAGTCCGTCAGTCTCTCTCTCTCAGTGAGTCTGTGTGGCAGTATCACGTTGGTTATATGGTGTTAAGAAGGACGTTAGACATGTGTATTCAGTTAGATGAAGCCTAGTGAGGACTGTTGGGGGTCCGTTGATTCAGACTATTATTGTGAAACATCTCTCTTGATTCATTATATTATTGTGAAGCATTCTTTGATTCATGTAATAAAAGGATCAATAATGAACCTGCATCTTCGAGTATCTATGCTGTGGTCAATGTTGTGTGGAATGAGTGGTTAGACTCGGGAAGGTCACATTTGGCGTTGTCGGCAGGGTAGCCAGAGACTCGTTACATTTGGCGTTGTCGGCAGGATAGACTCGGGGACTCGTTACATTTGGCGCTGCGACCAGGATGAATTCAACGAGACTTGCCGCTTTAGGCACCCATAGTCAACCTAGTTCATAACTGTGTTTAGTGTGTGTGTGAATTCGGACATTCAGGAACAGTGAAAATTGAGGAACGAGGAAAATTTTTTTCATACACACACGGTAAGAAAGAACTCTTTTTTTTTTTACTAAAGGAATAAAATGTCTACTCTGGAC